GAGCTGTCCTCTGACCTCGCGCCCGGGCTCTGCTGAGACGCCCTCTGCGAATGGTCGCCCTGCCTCCCGGTCACCCTGTCCCGGTCTGACTCTTCGTGTCCTCGGGGAGAGACGGCTGGTGGGAGCTGCTCCCGCAGGAGCCGGCAGGCCTGCCCGTCACTCCCCAGGCCCCGTGCAGAGCGGCCTGCCGAGCGCTGTCCCGGCGCCCAGGTGCCCACCCTCGGAGCCCCCGGCCTCACACAGGAAGGGGTGGGAAACCCCGTGCCTGGAGGGTGTTTAATCCTCACTCAGAGGCGAGGATCCTTCCTCCATTGACTGCTGGAGAGGAAAGCATGCGGGAGCGGGGAGAGGGAAACATCGATGTGTGAGAGACACGTGATCATTTGCCCCACGATTGCCTGCCCTTGACGGGTACTGAAGCCGAGACCCTGTGGTCCGTGGGCCGATGCTCTAACCACTGAGCTCACGGCCGGGGCGCCACACGGTTGTTAAATGTGAAGCCACGGGCCTGGGTCTCACGGCCCCTCCCTCTAGCTGAGGCCTGGGTCGGCCGGGACGGGCTGCGGTGCAGGACGGAGGGGCGGGGGAGCCAGGGGAGCGAGCTGAGCTGCCCCCTCTGCAGGCTCAGGACTCACAGCTCGGTCCTGTCTGCCTCCCGCCCCCTGTGCACAGCCCTGACCGGGAGGGGACGGAGGAGGGGAGGGGGCCCCGGAGGGGGTTCCGTGGAGCTGACGCCGCCCTCGCTCTGGCCACGCGGACGCCCACACGGAGCAGGGACAGCTGGCCTGACCCCGGGCGCTCGGCTTTGTGCACATCCAAGGCCGCCCGGGCTGAAACCATGGCGACGGCGAGACCGGGCAGCCACTCCTCAGGGAATGGAAGAGGCCGACAGAGGGGGACACGTGGGTCCCAGCAACGAGGGGACCTGCCTCCCGGGCCCCCCCCTGCCCAGCACGGTGCGCGGCCCGGTACACTGCCCCTCAGAGGACCTGCACGCCCCTCCGGTGGCACCGAGCACTGGGGCCCACACCGCCCTGTCCCCTCCGAGCACCGAGCACCAGGCCCACACCGCCCCGTCCCCTCCGAGCACCGAGCACCAGGCCCACACCACCCTGTCCCCTCCGAGCACCGAGCACCAGGCCCACACCGCCCCGTCCCCTCCGAGCACCGAGCACCAGGCCCACACCGCCCCGTCCCCTCCGAGCACCGAGCACCGAGCACCAGGCCCACACCACCCGTCCCCTCCGAGCACCGAGCACCAGGCCCACACCGCCCCGTCCCCTCCGAGCACCGAGCACCAGGCCCACACCGCCCCGTCCCCTCCGAGCACCGAGCACCGGGCACCAGGCCCACACCACCCGTCCCCTCCGAGCACCGAGCACCAGGCCCACACCGCCCCGTCCCCTCCGAGCACCGAGCACCAGGCCCACACCGCCCCGTCCCCGCCGAGCACCGAGCACCAGGCCCACACCGCCCCGTCCCCTCCGAGCACCGAGCACCAGGCCCACACCGCCCCGTCCCCTCCGAGCACCGAGCACCAGGCACTGAGCACCAGGCCCACACCACCCCGTCCCCTCCGAGCACCGAGCACCGAGCACCAGGCCCACACCGCCCCGTCCCCTCCAAGCACCGAGCACCAGGCCCACACCGCCCCGTCCCCTCACCAGGCCCACACCGCCCCGTCCCCTCCGAGCACCGAGCACCAGGCCCACACCACCCCGTCCCCTCACCAGGCCCACACCGCCCCGTCCCCTCCGAGCACCGAGCACCAGGCCCACACCGCCCCGTCCCCTCTGAAGGCACCGAGCACCAGGCCCACACCACCCGTCCCCTCCGAGCACCGAGCACCAGGCCCACACCACCCCGTTCCCCCCGAGCACCGAGCACCAGGCCCACACCGCCCCGTCCCCTCCGAGCACCGAGCACCAGGCCCACACCACCCCGTCCCCCCCGAGCACCGAGCACCAGGCCCACACCGCCCCGTCCCCTCCGAGCACCGAGCACCAGGCCCACACCACCCCGTCCCCCCCGAGCACCGAGCACCAGGCCCACACCGCCCCGTCCCCCCCGAGCACCGAGCACCAGGCCCACACCACCCGTCCCCTCCGAGCACCGAGCACCAGGCCCACACCGCCCCGTCCCCTCCGAGCACCGAGCACCAGGCCGACACCGCCCCGTCCCCTCCGAGCACTGAGCACCAGGCCCACACCGCCCCGTCCCCTCCGAGCACCGAGCACCAGGCCCACACCACCCCGTCCCCTCTGAGCACCGAGCACCAGGCCACACCACCCATCCCCTCCGAGCACCGAGCACCAGGCCCACACCACCCCGTCCCCTCCGAGCACCGAGCACCAGGCCCACACCGCCCCGTCCCCTCCGAGCACCGAGCACCAGGCCCACACCGCCCCGTCCCCTCCGAGCACCGAGCACCAGGCCCACACCGCCCCGTCCCCTCCGAGCACCGAGCACCAGGCCCACACCGCCCCGTCCCCTCTGAGCACCGAGCACCAGGCCCACACCGCCCCATCCCCTCCGAGCACCGAGCACCAGGCCCACACCGCCCAGCACAGGGCTGCCTGGTACAAAGCCTCGGGGTGGAGAGCCGTCTGCCCCGGAGTGCCCTCCCCGCTCTCTGCAGGGCCCGCCCACAGCAGAGGCTGGCAACAGCTCAGCCCCAAGCGGAGGGGGCTGCTGGCTGTGGGCAGGAAGTGGCTCCGAGGCACCCGCTGTCGGCACAGAAGGGGGGCATCGCCCTGAGGCAGAGGCTGCCGCTCCTTCAGCCTGGCCTTCGCAGCGGCAGCACAGGGACAGGAAGTGGGCCCAGCTGGTGCTTGCACGGGTTCTGACGCGTTTCCAACGCCCGCAGCCTCGCTGCGCCCTGAGCAGGGGCTGAGCATCCGTCGGTCCCCAGGTGCCAGGGCAGGGTCCGTGCAGGCTCGCTGTGGGAATTAATAAGATCCGGTGTGAGGCACCGGCTAGGACGCAGGCCCCAGTACGCTGTGATTCACATGGAACACAGTGTGGCCGTGCACCGGAACCCCAGCTGGGAGGGAGCCGCTCGTCCCGAGCCCGACGCAGACAGGAGGAGGACAGGCGTGAGGGAGCCTGGTCCACCCGGGAACAGCCTGGGGCTTCCCGATGGCGCGGGGCGGGCGGCCCAGCTGCCGCCGTTTGGTTCCTGTGTTCTGGGGAGACCGTTCGGGGCGGGAACAGCCTCTGCGGGGGGACGGAGCCCAGCCAACAGGAGCTGAGTGGGAGCCTGATCAAACCGTACCTGAAGGTGATTCTCAATTACTCGGGCCTATAATACCCTTCTTTTTGTATTTTTAAAAATCTTTATTGTTGAAAGCACTGCATAGGTCCTCCTGTACCCCATTGACCCCCTCCAGCCCGCCCTCCACCTGCCCTATTGTCCATGACCACGGGTTATGCACGTGTGCACACAAGGTCTTTGGTTGATCACCTTTCACCCACCTGCCCTGCCCCGCCTTCCCTCTGAGATTCTCAGTCTGTTCCATGCTCCCATGCCTCTGGATCTAGTTTGTCCATTGATTTTGTTCATTAGATTTCACCATAAATGAGATCATGTGACGCTTGTCTTTCTCTGACTGGGCTTATTTCACTTAGCACGATACTCTCCAGGCCCCTCCAAGCTGTCTCAAAGGGCGAGAGATCCTTCTTTGTTGCTGTGCAGTATTCCGTGGTGTGAATGGCTTTTTATCCACTCGCCTATGGTGGGCCTGGGCTGTTTCCGGATCTTAGCTCCCGCCCATGGTGCTGCTGTGAGCACAGGGTGCGTAGTCTTCTGATGGTGCTTCGGGTCTCTTAGGATACAGCCCTAGAGGGGGGATCCCTGGTTCGGACGGCAGGTCCGTATTTAGTTTTTTGGGGAAACTCCAGACTGCCCTCCTCAGTGGCTACATCAGCCTGCATTCCCACCAGCAGGGCACAGGGCTCCTTTCACGTGTAAAGACACCTCCCATGTTTTGTCACTCATGACTATAAGGACCCATGTGACAAGCATGTGTGTGGATCCTGTTTCCGGGAACATACGTGTTTGCGTCCACTTTGGGGAAACGCGTTGGAAGGCAGAGGGACCGCTGTGGGTGTGATCACAGATCATCGTCACCAGCTCCAGGCCCTCTGGCTGGTGCCTTCCCTCGGGTCCTCCCTCCTCAGGGAATGTCCCCCCCGCCCAGACCCCATGGCCCAGGGGGCCTTCAGCAGCGTTAACCCTGCCCATCACCTGGACCGGGAGCCGCTGCCCACCCAGCACCTGCTGCCTCCCACCCCCAGTCCCCCACCCCCGCTCCGGCTGCGGCTCCTCCCGTCCGCTCTGACCTGCAGCCCACTCGGGAGACACCAGGCACCTTTCCAGCACCCGCTAGCCCAGCGGCTGGGCCGGCACTGCGGCCGCTCGAGCAGTGACGTCTGGGGGGGCCCAGAACGCACCCCGACTATCCAGAGAGCAGAGCAGTGGCACGGGCCCAGCCAGGCCAGCCGGCCCGGTCACCACGTGCTGGGACACGGGCCTGCGCCCTGCAGCCCCCCGGACCGCGTGGGGTGACCTGGGAGAGGGCCCCCCACGATCCAGGCACCTTGCTCCTATGCGGGTGCCTGGCAGCGGGCCCCGAAGGCCGGCCACATTGGACCCCGGTTTCCAAGGACTGACTGGCCGATGGCCCGGAGGCCCAGGCCTCTGACAGAGGAGGGGCCTGAGTGCCTGGCCTTCGGGTTAGAGAGCAGGGCAGCGCCGTGCCCGCCGGGAGCCGCCTGGCACCTGCGACCACACCGGTCCCTCTGGAGGGCGAGACTGCAGCCCTCGGACCCGCGCCCGGAGGGACGCTGCGGGGACGTGTGGCCACCTCTGGCCTCGGGGACCGGGAACTGTCCGCCCCGAGGCGGGCGGGGACGGCCCCGCTTGGGAGCCGGAGCCCAGAGGAGCCCGTGCCGCGGAGGCAGCCCGGAGGGGCCCCGGCGCCCGGCGGAGACACGCAGAGACCAGAGGGAGAGAACGGCTTTATTCGGGGAGCGGAACCATCCACCGGGAGTAAAAAGCGAAACCGAACAGCTGAGCCACAGCAGCCACGCGCTTCCCGCCTCCGGACAGCAGGCTGCGGGCCTCTCACCACGCCAACGCCAGGCCCAGGCGCCTCAGGCCGGCTAGGGGGGCGGCGGGTAGAAGACGGGGCCGTCCTTGCACACCTGCAGGTCCCGGGCGAGGCCGGCGCCCCCCGGCTGCCCGGGCTCCGCGCAGCCCTGCAGCTGCAGGTCCTTGGTGAAGCACAGCTCGATCTGCCCCAGCAGCTGCACCTCCACGCCCTACGGAGACGGTCACTCAGTCCTCCTGCGACGGAGCCCGGGCCCCCCACCCCTGGCGGGACCCGGAGGTGACCAGAGGCGGCTCCAGCCCAGACCGCTCCGGGCACCCGTCCCAGCGCTGCCGGCACGCCAGGCCTCCCCCAGCACGCCACAGCCCGCGTGTGAACTGGACCGGGCCACCAAGTCACAGCAGACATTCCCAGCTCCGATGCCAGCCCACAGGGACCCACCTCCCCTCCCAGGACAGTGCATCCCGGGTAGGAAGGGACCAACACCCTGCCCCAGGGCCTGGAGCCAAAGAACAGGTGGTTTCAACACACACTCACTCACACTCACACACACACTCACTCACACACACCCATACACACTCACACACATACATACACACACTCACACACTCACACTCACTCACACACTCATACATACACTCACTCACACACACACACATTCACACACACCCATACACACACACATACATACACTCACACACTCACACTCACTCACACACTCATACATACACTCTCACACACACACACACACACACTCACTCACACACACTTCCCCCACACACACACATACACACACACTCTTCACACACACTTTCACACACATATACACACACACACCACACTCACAGCATATGCCGTGTATACCCCACACAGCACATGCCTGCACCACTCGCGTGCACACACACACACAGCAGCACACAGCCCAGCAGTGTGGCCCCCACTGCCCGGCACAGACCGCAGCGCACGGCCCTGACCTGCTCGGGCGGGAGACACTGGATCTTGGGTGGGACCCCGTACAGGCCGGTGAGGGCATCCTTGATGTCTGACACCTGGAATGGAGCGACGTGTCAGAGGGGAACGCCCCAGAGGAGCCAGACCTGTGGCCGGGACCCGTGGCCGGACCTCCCTGAGCCCCACGTCAGGCCCCCATCCGCTCCAGGAGAGTCTGTCAAACCCCACGGCCTGCACCCACTCAGGGCCCCCGAGGAGGATGCTCAGGGCAGCGAGACCCGGTCCCCCGGCCCCGTCCTACCCTGCCCCTCCGTGGGGAGGACACAGACCCCCGGGCCCAGCCACGGAGCAGACCGTGGGCAGGGTGACCCTCTGTCTGGCCACGGGCCCACCCCGAACTCCTGCTGGCCTAACCCTCCTCACCCACACTGTGCCCGCCCGGGTTGTGGGGCGAGCAGGAGGCAGCCGATCTGTGTTTCTCTCATCAGTGATAAACGTCTGCTGGAGCCGCCCCAAGCAGGGAGGGAAGTGGCTCCCTCTGGCCTCAGCGCCCAGGCCGGGGTGTGTGTGTGTGTGTGTGTGTGTGTGTGTGTGTGTGTGTGGGCCGGTGAGCGGACGTGGCGGGACGCAGCGGGCAGACGCGGCAGTGACTCACCTGGTAGTAGTTGCCCCCGGACGGGACCACCCCCAGCTTCTGCAGCATGCTGGAAGCAGAGCGAGGACAGGCTGTTAGCCAGGCCCTCTCCTCCTCGTTCTCAGCGTCACTTCCCCTGACCCAGTCCCACGTCCTCCGGCCCCACTTCCCGGGACCGGCAGGCGGCCTGTGAGGACGGCAGGGCGTGGCCGAGGTGGCTGCCCCCCCCCCGCCCCCCGTTCTCCCCCCCGTCACCCCGCACCCCTCCCCCGCACCCAGTGTCCGCGCCCGGAGAGATGGCCCATGTCCGTGGCCGCAGCCCGTGGCCGTGGCCAGGGCCCGGGCAGGCTGAAGGGCCAGAGGGCGTCTCAGACCCTCACAGGAGCCCCGGTCCTGCAGGGGCAGCTCCACCAGGGCTCCGGGCGCAGCGGCTCGGGCCCCCGCCCTCGGGGCCAGGCGGTCACAGCGAGGCGGGGGTGTGTGTGTGTGTGTGTGTGTGTGTGTGTGGCGGGGGAGGCGGGCCATGCTACCTGTTGAGCGCCAGCGCCCGGTACAGGTCCAGGGCCTTCCCGAAGTACTTCCTCTCCGAGCCCAGGGCCTCCAGCTGCGCCACGCACGTCCCGTGCTTCTCCCACTCGTGCTTCCTGGAAGGGGCGCCGCCGCTGGGACCTCAGGAGGCCGGGCGCCCCCGGGGGTCCCTGTCCTCTCCCAGCCGGGGCGCCCTCAGGAGGTCCCCGGTCCCCGCCCTCTCCCGGCCGGGGCGCCCACCGACGGTCCCTGGTCCCCGACCCTCCCCTGGCACAGAGCACCACCGGGGGTCCCCACCCTCTCCCGGCGGGCGCCCGCGGAGGCCTGCGGTGCCTTCCCGGTGAAAGCACCGGCTCCCCAGCCGCCCGGTGCTGACCTCCCGCCCCCCACGCCGGGCGCCACCTGTGAACTCCTGGGGACCCCCCTCTCCTCCCAGGAGCACGAGAGGGGGGCCCTGAAGGAAGGCGCTGCCCCCTCGCCACCTGGCACCCCCCCCCCAATAGCGCCCGCAGCCGGCTTCACGGCGCGGTCCCTCCCAGCGCCCGGCGGTCACTGAGACGCCGGCCTGGCCGGCTCTGCCCACGTTCGGGCGTCCACATCCGTGGACCAGCAGCCCAGCCCGGGGTCGGCCACGGCACAGCGACTGGTGTTTGAGGAAATGGCTACTGACTGTCTCTACGGTGTGGCCAGGGTTTCCACATGCTCTGTTCCCACAGCTCCCCAGGCTGTTACCAGAGGGGAGACTGAGGCTCGGAGGGGCTGGCGGGGCACAGCCACGGGCCGCCTCCACGTGCCCGCAGCCACGCCCCCGAGGGAGAGCTGCCCCGGACACCAGTGACCGGCCACAGACGGCACTCCCACCCCGCTCCTGCTCAAAGCCTCTCTCTACACCCTGGCTCCTGTCCTGAAGCCTAGAACTCTCCCCGGTCCCATCAGCCTTATTAGCCAAATTCCCATCAGCGGCGACCTGAACTGCAGGCGGCACACGGGGTGAGCAGGCGGACATGAGGGCGTCCTCGGCCCCTAAAGCACAAACATGAAGCGCGTCCAAGGTGCCTTCTTCCAGGCGGTGCGTTAGGAGCCGCCCTGACGGAACAGCCTCGTTCCCGTCGCTCAGCTCGTGCCGAAGCAAAGGGTTTGGCTGGCGCGGCCGGAGGACAGAGCCTCAGCGACCCCCTCTCCTCCCCATGGCGCCCCCACTCGGACCCGGGGCTCTTTCCCTCACACACTGCATGGCGGCAGCACTTCCCTGAGAACTAGTCCCTCCCGTCTGATCCGGAGAGACGGCTCCTGAGATACGCAAGTTATTTAAACCTCAACAGAGACGGTTTTAAAAGCAAAGCAATGGCCAAAACCATTAGATAGAGCATGCGGACTGAAGGGTCCTGGGTTCGATTCCGGTCAAGGGCATGTACCTTGGTTGCAGGCACATCCCCAGTAGGGGGTGTGCAGGAGGCAGCTGGTTGATACTTCTCTCTCATCAATGTTTCTAGCTCTTTATCCCTCTCCCTTCCTCTCTGTAAAAAATCAATAAAATATATTTTAAAAAAGCAAAGCAATGAATGAAAGACCCAATGAAAAACGAGTGTCTAACGGAAATCCACTGCCCTCCTCTGCCACTCGCTGGCGAGAGGGAGGCCGTCCACACCTCCGGCTGGACCACGCCACGGGGACACACACCACCCTGTGGCCGAGCCCACGGTCCCCGGGACCCGCCCGCCCACGGCTCTCACGTGTCGCGAGCTCGCTCACCACAGGAAGCTGCTGTTGGGGGACGGGTGCAGCAGGTCCGGCCAGTACATCTTCATGTCCGGCATGAGGTCCTGGCGGAGAGCGGAGCTTGGTCCCGGCACAGAGGGGCGCTCTGCCCCCCAGTCCCCAGGGCCCACAGGGTGCTGCTAATTTCCGGGCCCGTCCGGCCTCGGGGTGTGGACGGAGGAGGTGAGGGCGTCCCCGTGGATCTGTGGGACCGCCATAGGTACCCAGGGCACTGAGGGGCCGGCGGCGACCTGGCGAATGCATTCGGGGCACCCCGGCCGGGACAGAACCCATGTGAATACCTTAATCTCGTCCAGCTTAAAGGGCCACGACCGGTTACACATGTCCGCTTTGTCAGCCCTTGAAATGCAAGAACAAGACAGGAGAGGTCAGTCCTGGTGGGACGGGCTCTGGAGGACACGAGGAAGCCCTTGGGCTCAGCGCGCAGGGGACACGGGCGTGGGAGGGGGGCCTGGGAGCCACAGGCCATCCTGTCTGCACCGGCTCCGGCTCCGGGCAGCCTCACAGCCCGCTTCCAGGAAAGAGCTGGTGGGGAGACTGGTGGAGGCCGGCCTGTGCACACAGCACGGAGCCTACGGCACTCGCAGGGGTCCCCGGAGGGGTTTCCGGTGGGTCCCAGGGACCTGCCCCCTGCTAGCCCGCTCCACAGCCCAAGAGTCAGCCAGCGGGAGGCCTGCCCCTTTAAGAGGAGGTGAGGCTGAGGAGGTGAGACTGTGCCGAAGGCTCAGAGCCTGGCAAGTGGGCAGACCGCTGGGGTGACCGTTCACAGTGCCGAGCCCACGCCCTCCTCCCCGCGGTGACCCTGTCCCCACGTCTGACCCTGTGCCCACTGGCAGCTCAGGCCGTGGGGTCCCCCACCTGCTCCCCAGACCAGCTGTGTGTCCAGCCGCCACAGCTGTCCCGGCCCCGGGCCTCCGCCTCCACCTTCACCGCGGGACGGAGCGTCACCCTGCGGTGACCTCCCCGCTCACAGGCGAGGACCCCGGAGAGCCAGGGCCCCCGACAAGCCCGGGGGAAGGGGACTGTGGGCCAGGTCCCCAAGCCCCCTCTAAGCTGCTTTCTGCTGACCCCGCCCCGAGGGACAGGTGCACAGTGACACCGGGAGGGCTTCCTCTCAGCCAGGCAAGGACAATGTGTGTGACTCACAGCACACTCCGTGCACACACAGCATGAAGATGAGCTGCACAGAATGCAGGCACAGCCAGGCAGCCGATCTGGGCGGCTGTGAGGTGTCGCTAATACAGATTATGCGTGTGATTTATATTTATATGGTACTTACTGTCCCCAAATGAGAAAATTAAAAATTCAGTAACCCTAACACATACTCAGAACCCTTAAATACATATTTAGCCTAGACCCGTGGTCGGCAAATCGAGGCTCGAGAGCCACATGCGGCTCTTTGGCCCCTGGAGTGTGGCTCTCCCACAAAATGCCACGGCCTGGGCGAGTCTATTCTGAAGAAGTGGCGTTAGAAGAAGTTTAAGTTTAAAAAATGTGGCTCTCCGAAGAAACCTCCATCGTTGTGCTGCTGGTAGTGGGCTCTGTGGACCGCGGGCCCAGCCTATTCCTGCTGAGAACAGCCCCGGGCAGCAGAACGGGGCCATGCTAGCACGGGAACGAAGCCTCCCGGTGAGGGCCGATCTACAGAATGAGCCCGGGGTCTCCCGGAATGAGCCCAGCAGCCTCCCGAGGGCAGCGCCCGGGACAGGCGCCGCGTGGTTCCCGCCGCGAGTACTCGCCACAGCCCGTGGATGGTCCAGTAGTCCGGAGGCTCTCTGCAGCCATGCTCAGTGCTCTGGAAGAAGACAGAGGCAGTCGGCGCGTTGCCGTCACTGAAACGGACTGAGCACCCTTCCTCTCCTTCGCCGCGAGCCAGGGACGGGGCTGGCACAACACAAACCCCACGCAGGCTCCTCCGAAGTGACACGTAAGCGCCGGGGCCCAGGACAAGAGGCACAGACAGAAAGACCAACCACAGGTGACAAGAGCAGGCCGAGGAGGCAGGCCTGCTGTGTTCCGGGAGACACTTGTGTTACAGATATTTGTATGATGTCAGAGAGGAGGGGAGAGGGAGAGAGAAACGTCGCTGAGGAGAGAGAATCACTGATCGGGTGCCTCCTGCAGGTCCCTTCGGGAATCAGCCTCCAGAACCCAGAGCACCAATGTCGGCCGTCCTGAGCCCCCAGCGGTGGCGCTGTCACAGCCCCAGCCCCAGAGAGGAGACAGCGAGACTTCTTAGGGGAGGCCCTGGTCAGAGGGCCATGAGGCACACACTCACCTTGCACACGGTCGCAGGCCAGTGGTGGACCATAATCAGCTTCTTCCAGTCATGGCTGCCGCTGCTGAGACAAGGAACCATGCTCCTAGAGCTTTCCAGTTACTGAAAAATTAGCCCATCCATCCATCTGTCCATCAATTCATCCATTCATCATCTGTCTATCAATCCATCCACCCACCTACCCACCCACCTATCCACCCATCTGCCCATCTATCCATCTATCTATCCACCCATCTGTCCATCCATCCATCCACCCATCTGTCAATCCATCTATCCATCCATCCATCCGTCTGTCCATTCATCCATCTGTCCATCTATCTGTCCACCCATCTATCCATCCATCCCATCATCCCACCATCCCACCATCCCACCATCCATCCGAGCCCTCATTCATTAAAGAACAGTAAATATCTGCCTCAGCCCAGGCATTTCTGTGAGAAGGAGTTACTGCCCTGAATGAGAGAAGAGTCCCAGGCACTAAGGTGGGACAGGGTTACTGCCTGGGTGAGGGAGGAGTCCCAGGCACTAAGGTGGGACAGGGGTACTGCCTGGGTGAGGGAGGAGTCCCAGGCACTAAGGTGGGACAGGGTTACTGCCTGGGTGAGGGAGGAGTCCCAGGCACTAAGGTGGGACAGGGGTACTGCCTGAGTGAGGGAGGAGTCCCAGGCACTAAGGTGAGACAGGGGGGTACTGCCTGAGTGAGGGAGGAGTCCCAGGCACTAAGGTGGGACAGGGGTACTGCCTGGGTGAGGGAGGAGTCCCAGGCACTAAGGTGGGACAGGGGTACTGCCTGGGTGAGGGAGGAGTCCCAGGCACTAAGGTGAGACAGGGTTACTGCCTGGGTGAGGGAGGAGTCCCAGGCACTAAGATGAGACAGGGGGGTACTGCCTGAGTGAGGAAGGAGTCCCAGGCACTAAGGTGGGACAGGGGTACTGCCTGAGTGAGGGAGGAGTCCCCCGCTCCTGAGACACACAAGCCGCGAGGGAGACCAGGGCCAAGAGAGAAAAGCACCAGCGCAGGGTGCTGTAGTGCAGGGCAGGGAAGCATGGACCCAAGGGCATGATGGGCAGGGCGGGGCGGGATGGGCAGGGTGAGGCAGGGAGGGGTTGAACTGGGGCCAGGAAGCCAGGAAGGCCTGGAGCCAGGGAACGGCCACCACGTGCCTCCGTCCTAAGGGCGCTCCCGGGTTGGAGACCCATCGCCTCCTCCCACGGGGAAACCTCAGCACAAAAGGCGCTGAAGCCGCTGGGTGACTGACCTCCACTCCCCCATCGGGGAGCGGCCTCCCTGCTGCCTGCAGAGGGGGTGACGTGGGACCAAAGGGGGCCTCTTCAGACCCCTTTTCAGGAGGGAGGGGGGTTTGCGGTGGCGCTGGGGGGCAGGAAGCTCAACCTCTTTGTCAGGCTCAGCAGACGGACGGACAGACAGACAGAGCCCAGGAGAAAGCACTCAGGCTACGGGTAGAGATGGGGTTCACCGGAAACAGAGCTGGTCCCCACAGCCGTGCTCGTGGGCAAGGAGTTCCGCTGAGTAACGGACGCGGACGATAGGAAACCTGGTTTTAAGTCTGAGATGCTGAGACAGGAGCTTGGCAGGACAGAAAAACCGGTGTCCACCCGAGTGGCAGCCGGCCGGGAGGGCCGGAGCCCTCTCCCCGACGCGGCCGTCTCACCGTGGACACAGGCTGCGGGGCCGTGGATGGGTGGCCAGACCATCGGTCAGCGTTCCCAGGGAAACAGGAAGCCTCAGAGCGGGGACCACCCCACCTGCAGTCCAGGCGGGGACACGATGGATGGATTGACAGATGGGTGGATGGATGGGGGAACAGCCCGGACCTGTGCGCCCTGCATGGCCTGGGTCCACCCCCGGCCGCGGGCAGGGCGTGTCCCGGAGAGGCAGGTGTGTGACTGGGGGGGGAGGGCACCTACTCCTGCTCGTCTTTAGCTGCATTGGCATTGGCATTGGCATTGCTGATGCCCTTGGCCAGGCAGGGTTCACAGAGTCCGCCCAACTGCTGCCTCCCCTCGCCCCCACCCACCGCCGGGCAGGGGTGTCTGCCTTACAGGTGAGCAGAGGGCAGCACACAGCCCCACGCCCGGCCTCTCCACCATCCCCTTAGCCTGGGGCAAACACTGAGGCCGAGCCCTTCCCAGCACGCTCTCTGGGAAAACAGCTGTGATGTTCCCCTTACCGCGTCTCATAACGCAGAACGTGTAATTAGAACTGCTGACGAGTTACCCACCTCTGCACGCCTGCGGCCGGGGAACCGCGTCCCTCCACTAGGGCCGTCTCACCCACATAGGAACCGTCCCTCCATCAGTGCGATCTCACCCAGATAGGACAGGGGGCCATCCCATCTGCTGCTACTGCTGGTCTCCTGCAGCCAGCAGCCCCCACCCTGACTCTCCCTGGGACGGAGCGTAAGGTGACCAGAGCGGGACAGTCCCGATTTTTAAAAAAATATATATTTTTTTAATTGATTTTTTTACAGAGAGGAAGGGAGAGGGATAGAGAGCTAGAAACATTGATGAGAGAGAAACATCGACCAGCTGCCTCCTGCACACCCCCTACTGGAGATGTGCCTGCAACCAAGGTACATGCCCTTGACTGGAATGGAACCTGGGACCTCTCAGTCTGCAGGCTGATGCTCTATCAACTGAGCCAAATTGGTTTTGGCTTTTTTTTTTTTTTTATGTATTTTATTGATTTTTTTACAGAGAGGAAGGGAGAAGGATAGAAAGTTATAAATATTGATGAGAGAGAAATATCAGTCAGCTGCCTCCTGCACATTTAGGATGTGCCTGCAACCAAGGTACATGCCCTTGATGGGAATCGAACCTGGGACCCTTCAGTCCGCAGGCCAACGCTTTATGCACTGAGCCAAACCGGTTAGGGCATAGTCCCGATTTTTAACAATTTGTCCCACGGCGTTTTAAAACATCCCCGATTTTTGGAATCTTCCAAAAATAGGGACTTTTTTAAAGCGCCGCGGGACGAGGGACAAATTGTTAGAAATCGGGTCTGTCCCGCCAAAAGTAAGCATGAGGGAGGGAGGGACTCGTCACCCAGGGCGCTGGCGTCCACACCAAAGCTGCGCCGACCGCCTGGGGGTAGGGGGGTCAGAGCAGGGACACCCGTCCACCCAGCACGGCCCCTCCGAGGCTGGACCCCACGGCGCCCGGGAGAACCCACCTCCTCTGGGACCCACCGCGCCCAGGAGAGCACCCCCCTCCTCCGGGGGAGCACAGCACCCACCTCCTCCGGGGGGGCACCCCCCTCCTCCGGGGGAGCACCCCCCTCCTCCGGGAGAGCACCCCCCTCCTCCGTGGGAGCACCCACCTCTCCAGGAGAGCACCCCCCTCCTCTGGGAGAGCACCCCCCTCCTCCGGCGGAGCACCCCCCTCCTCCGGGGGAGCACCCCCCCTCCTCCGGGAGAGCACCCACCTCCTCTGGAGCCCGCGCGCGCAGCCCAGCCAGAGGGCCAGGCCGAGGGCGCAGAGCAGGGCGCGCCCGGGGGCCGCCGGCTTCATCGCGGAGCCCGGGGTGGGGGGCCCAGGCGGGCCGAAGCTCGGCTTCCAAAGCGCGCGGGGCGGACGGTGCAGCGGCCCTGCCGCCCTGAAACCGGACACGTTTCCTTAGGCGTCAGCGCCGCCCGCGAGGAGCTCCCGCCGCCCGGGTCCCCGCCCGCCGTCCGCCGCCCGCCCGATCCCGCCGCGCCGCTACCGGCTGTCCCCGCCGCCGCCAACAGGCCCGACCGTTTCCGCCCGGGCCACCGCGCCGGACCCGCCCACAGGGCACGCCCCTGCCGCCTGCGGGCACACCGCCCCCGGCGCCCCGCGCCGCGACCGACCCCGACACGCCCCGGCCCCGAGGACACGCCCCGGCCCCGAGGACACGCCCCGGCCCCGAGGACACGCCCCGGCCCCGAGGACACGCCCCCGGCCCCGAGGACACGCCCCCGGCCCCGAGGACACGCCCCCAGCCGGGGGTGGAGGGCCCGCTCAGCTGGTCTCCTGGGAGAGGCTCTCCTTCCAGCCTGGCCGCCCCCCCAGCAGGAAGGTTGTGGCACTTTCTTTTCTTTTCTTTTTTATTTATTTTTTATAATATATTTTATTGATTTTTTACAGAGAGGAAGGGAGAGGGATGGAGAGCTAGAAACGTCGATGAGAGGGAAACATCCACCAGCTGCCTCCTGCACACCCCCTACCGGGGATGTGCCCGCAACCAATGTACATGCCCTTGGCCGGAATCGAACCTGGGACCTTTCAGTCCGCAGACCGACGCTCTACCGCTGAGCCAAACCGGCTTCGGCTTTTCTTTTTTTAAAAAATATATTTTATTGATTTTTTTTACAGAGAAGAACGGAGAGGGGGAGAGAGTAGAAACATCGATGCGAGAGAAACATCCATCAGCTGTCTCCTGCACAACCCCCACTGAGGATGTGCCCGCAACCAAGGTACATGCCCTTGACCAGAATTGAACCTGGAACCTCTCAGTCTGCAAGCCAACGCTCTATCCACTGAGCAACACCAGTTATGGTGTGTGGCACTTTCTTTTTCCCCAAAATGACATCGCTGGGGGATGGGAGAGGGTGCGGCCCACTGAACTCTGCCTGTCTTGAGGTTCAAGGCCCTGTGCTGTGCGCTGGCTCCCAGCACCCCACTCCTCCGCCTCACCCCACCCCTGAGCACTTGGGGTGATGTCTGTTTCCACGTGAATCCTTGTGGTCCTGCCTGGCATCGTGGAGTAGAAAATATTCTCCTCCTACAAGTGGGGGCACTGGAGTCACAGGGCAAACGTGGGGGTCAGGTGAGGGATGATGGCAAATACCTGGGAAGAGTAATGGTCTAGCATGAGTGAGGAGGCAGCAGTGAGACCTGGGAGCATGGGTGCCGGGGGAGGGTGCCCTGGGTTTGGTGGGAGGGTGCAGAGTCACAGGAACCGGGGAAGCACAGCCGCCCTGCCACGCGGCCTGTGGGCGAGCAGCATCTGCCGGGAATTCGTCAGAGGCAAACTAAGCAGCAGCCAGCCAGCGACCCTGGGTCAGAGCGGGAACGGTCCTTCCTGGACATGCCTTCCTGCTCCAGGAGACAGGCCCACGCCCTCGGAGTCATGACCCGTGAGAGCCCAGGCACGGTGCTTGCAACTGGGCTTGAGGCCACATCACTGGGGTCTCCAAATGCCCAGCCCTGTCCTGCCAGGGGCCCAGGGGCCGCGGGGGGCTCTGGGCCAGGCTGTCCCCGTGGAGAGCCCAGGGTGCTGGGTGGGAAGGGAGGGGCTGGCACTCCGGGTGGGTCCTCTGGGTGTGGATTCAGATTCTCCTGCTCCTGCCTGGGTAAGCTGGGGCGCAAACTGACTTCCCTCAGCCAGGGCTCCTCGTCTGTAGAGCAGGGACGATGTGCTCTAATGGTTTATAGTTGGGACTAGAGATGAGACTAAACCAAGCCCGGCGGCTCTTCCGAGGTGGGAATAGAGGAATTTCTTTCCTTCACTCTCTGGTGACAAATTTTAAGCCTCAAGGCCAAGGAATCATCTCCAAATCTTTACCCAAACGTCTGACTTAAACCACTTCTGACCCCGTCATAAGAGGCTTCAAAATAGAAAGAGAAAAAAATGAGCTCACGCTCACATACGCACACACGTGCACACACACCTCCACACACGATTGTGCACCCCTACGGGACATTAGAAAACACTTTTCAAAATGTTCCTCTAAAAAGCACGTGGACACCTGAGGACTTGTACCCGCAGAGCTGTCTCTGTGGAGAGGGCACGGCACACACAGACAGCGGCTCTCGTGTTGGCAGGTAACTGGGGAGCTTACAAGTACTCAGTGCTCTTAAAGGATTTTGAGTTTCTTTCTTTCTTTCTTTCTTTCTTTCTTTCTTTCTTTCTTTCTTTCTTTCTTTCTTACAGAGAGGAAGAGAGAGGGACAGTCAGAAACCTACTAGATGAGAGTCATCGACCAGCTGCCTCCTGCATACCCCCCACTGGGGATGGGCCCGCAGCCAAGGTGCATGCCCTTGATTATGTCTCTACCTACTCCGCACCCCACTGCAAAAAGCACCTAGTGCCTTCATGTGTGTGAACCAGCTGGTGAGTAAGTGTTTACCAGCTGCCAATAAAACCCTTGTTCCCTCGTGAGTGACCCACGTCCTGCATGGTTCGGGGTTCAGGGTTCGGGATCTGGAAGAGGGGCCGCTGATGAAAGAGACCAGACAAGAGATAATAATTTGGAAATTGGGGGGGGGGGGGAGCGGGAGCCCAGGAGGACTTCCCCGGTGCCCAGGCCTCGCCACCTTTTATTCCAGTTTGGATGCACGCGTAGCCCTTAGCCAGCCAGGCAACTGTGGCCACAGCACTCTCCTGAAGGCCAGTAGCTATCGGGAAGATTCACTCTGAGACTGTTTGGTCAGGAAATGGCTTGAGCCTCGTTGCCCGGACTGAACAGCCCATGGGTGTATAGCTCTGGCCCTCGCCGGGCAGAGGCCCCGCATTACTGGGCGGCTCCTGCAAACGGGACCTCGTGCTCTAACCCCGTCATAACCCCTTTCACAGAAACGCTTACAAGTCCATTTGCAAACCCCACTCCTTCCAGCAGCCGCTTCCTCTTTCCCCAGGAAACGGAGAACGTGCACCTGCGGGTGCAGCTGCTCCCTCCGTCTGCCCCTGCGGCCTCGGTTCGTCTTCCCTGGGCGCCTGGCCTTCCTCGTTGCCTGCTCCCCGGGGCCCCAGGCGCCTTGGGAAATGCCAGATGGCCTTCTCGTCCTGGGCCTCTGGGAGCTTTCTGCGTGGGCAGACAACCAGAGCCTCATTACACCGTCCTGGCGCTTCCTCCCCGCCCTGCCGCCTGGCCTGTCCCGGAGATGGGCCTCCTCCGGCGCTGGGGGGTAGGTGTGGGGGTGGGAGGCGTGGGGGGTGAGGGGGTGGGGGAGTTGGGGGGAGGGCGGCTGTCCTGGATGCAGCAGGGGCTGCAGTGCCTGCTGAGGTCACCTAGCCCATGGCTTCTTGTTTCACCTCGGACTGCCCTTGGCGAGGACACAGCCAACAGCGCTGGACCCGCCAGGCCATGCTCTCGGGCAGGCCCTGGAGAGCTGGGGGCTGGCAGAGGCTCACAGGTCCCCGCCCGCCCCGGGCTCCCCCCTCTGAGCCCCGACACTGCACACCAGAACCAGGCTGCCCTGTGTGCCCCTCAGAATGGGTGACCCACCAAACCGGGAGGTTGCCACTGGCTGCCCTGAGGGAGGTGCGGGTGGTTGGCCACGGCCTCGGGGGCTGGGACAATGGTCCCCATGGAGGCAACTCGCCAGGGGCTGGGACAGAAGCCAGAATCCTTGGCGAGCAGCTGTTCTGTAACTTGAGCTATGTGCGTGTTGTATGTAACTACACAGCTGAACCCCAAAAACGCCACCTCCCGACACAGGGACTGCAGGCAAAGGGAGAGAGATGTCAGGCGTAGCTGAGGCCAGAACAGCGCCCTCAGCTCCCACCTGTTCGCAATCAGGCGCGTTGTCCTGGGAGGCTGAGTGAGTGACAGACAGCGGACGAGGAAGGAGGCGAAGCAGCCCGGGAAGACTCAGAAGCAAACGTTATGGACACCAGGGAGCGTTAAAGGGAATTAAGGGTCTGTGGTGCTGAATTTGCATGGCAAATCTCTGTAGCAACTCTTAAGTTTCCTACAAAAAGGAAGAACAACACAGGCAAACAGGAAGCCTTACTGCCCCTGGCTCTGACAGCCCTGGCCCAGGGACCAGCGGGGCCACAGCACAGGCCTGAGGCCTCCGGTGCAGCCTCACCCCTGCACCAGGGCTCCCGGGTCACCGTGCAGGCCGAGCCGGAGCCCAGGGCCAGCAGAGCCACATGGCAGCCTGCCGGACTCAGAGCAGACCCCCGGGCTCCCATGGGCAAGAGAAAATGTTGTTTTTTAAAATATATTTTATTGATTTTTACAGAGAGGAAGGAAGAGGGATAGAGAGGTAGAAACATCGATGAGAGAGAAACATCGATCAGCTGCCTCTGCACACCCCTGACTAGGGATGTGCCCGCAACCAAGGTACGTGCCCTTGGCCGGAATCGAACCTGGGACCCTTCAGTCCACAGGCGGACGCTCTATCCACTGAGCCAAACCGGTCAGGGCAAGAGGAAATGGTGTTTGAGCATCAGGGACAACAGTAACTACAGTGGTTGAAACACATCAAATGTGTTAAGTCCACAGAGGCGTTAGGGTACCCCAGGAGCAGTCTCGGTCACTTCGGGGACGCGGGAACCAGCTCATTATTCCGGAAAGTCAAGGCTGAGAGTCATTGTTCCTCCGGCCCCGGTGCCAGCACCGCAGCTTCACCCAATGGCTGACGGGAAGGTCTCCTTTAGGTTTAGGTTCCTGGGAAGAGGAGGAGGAATGGTGGTATTTGACATTACCCTTCCACAGCCCCCAGAGTGACGAACCTGAGCCTCCACACCGGCAGAAGCTGGGGCGCTGGAGGGGAAGCCGGGAGGGAGAGATCCTGGTCGGTCAGTGTGGCGTCCGAGGCTGTGACCCACCTTAGTGAGAGGGCGGCCCGGAGCAGCTGGGGGTCCGTCTCTGCAGGAAACAGCGCCAGGGCACACCCTGGCTCGCCCGGGTGTCCTGTGCTGTGCTTTGGACTGTTTGATGCTCTGATTGGAGCGTTTCTTTATTCAACTTGCTTTATAATTTAAAAAAAGGATCCTTTTTTGTATCGTAACACGTTCGCCTCCAATTCCACATCCATCAACACCCCCGCTGCTCCTCCGGCCTCGTTGCTGCAGGAGCTGGTCCTCCGGGAAGTCCGCGCTGAGACCACCGTCCGGTGCCTGTGGCTACCGGGAGCCGCCGCTGCGGGGCCTTTCAGAGCCGGGACGCGCGCTTCATCGGTTGGTTTTAAGGGAGATGCATCCTGAGTTCACACTGACATTTACGAATAAATGCAGGATGAAAGGGCTTTCTCATTGGTCTTATTTGCATACATCTTTGCATCTCCCTTTCATCTCTCTTCAGGCATTTAATTGGCGCAGATGAAAGAGAGGACGCTACTTAGTCTAAACGCCACACGTTCCCTCTTCAAAACCCGGCCGTCATTCCAGTAATTCCCCTGCCCCTGGCCTGGGCGCTCGCTGAGCCGCAGGAGCGTCTGCTGGACCTGACCCGGCGCGGCTCCGCGTGTCCGGACCAGCGCTCCCTCCGGGGCGGTCCCCGGGGAGCGCCTCCCGCCCGGGCAAGCCTGTGCTGTGGGTGGTCACTGCCTGGCGTGCGGTGACCCTGGGCTCCGGGTGTTAACTCAGCGTCCCCGGGGCAGGGAACGGAGCGGAAGGTGGGTCGTGGGGAGAGAAGAGGCTGCATCCTGCTGGACCAGCAGCAGGAAGAGAGCTGAGGGTGCGGACGGAGAGGCTGGGCAGGCAAGCTGAGAGCGGCATGTCCTGCGTGTTCCTAGCAAGTCCCCATCCCTGTGGAGCGTGAGGTCACTGCCGTTCTCCCCTGCACCGCAGACCCCGCCCCTTCCAACCGGCAGGGTCTTCCATCAACACTGTCCATGCACTTCCTCTTCCTGTGACTTTAACTTCTTTTCTGTAGCTTTATGGTACGAACACAGTGTGTAATACGTGTAACATACAGCAATATGTTAATGGCTTAAGGCCATTTAAGACTAACAGGAGGCTATTAGTAGTCAAGTTTGGGGGAGTCAAAAGTTACACACAAATGGTTGGCTGTGCGGGGCTGGCACCCCTAAGCCCCATGTTGTTTAAGGGTTAACTGTACGGCATTTACAGGTGTAAGTCATTAGGCTGTGCACCTGAAACTAATGAACTGTCATACGTCAATTATATCTCAATAAAAAAAAAAAAATCCTGTTCTACATTCATCAAAGCACAACTCCTCTTCATCTTTCTTTTGAAACAGGACCCTCCGCCCCGCTCCCGGCTCCTGGTCTGAGCTCTGCCTTCGCGCGCTGGGTGGCGGTGGGGCTGTCCTGTGCCCCCCGGCCGTCCACCAGCATTGCTGGCTTCTCCCTGCGAGATGGAGGAGCAGCCCCTTCGCTGTGACAACCAGAGATCGCAGATGTCCCCTGAGGAGCCGTCGCCCGTGGGAGCCACAGCACCCGCTCTTCTGGCTTCACGTGCCCGGCACCCACCACCGACCCCGTTCAGGAAGCCAACCAGCCGCGACGGCGTGTGGCTGTGCGCAGGCGTGCACCTCTGAGAGGTTCTGAGAACCTGTGAACACATTTGTAAGTTAACAGCACAGATCCTTATCCTGAGTTCACATAATTATAAAGAGCATGTTTCCTGCTGTCTTACACATTACAGACATGCCTGAAATGCACTTCATTGAAGATCTTAAAGTGGAAAGAACTTACTAAATGTGTGGAGAATGTCACAGAAACCCAATATTGTCTTTGGGATGAACCCATCAGCCAACTCAGGCTACTGTGAACCCAAACTACTAAAAAAAGAAGAAAAAAGAAGGAAAAAGAAGACAGCAGTAGGAAGGGCTCCTGGTGGCTAACTGGGCTGGGGGAAAAAAGCAAATAATAATAATAATAATCAGAGCCTAGCAGCCCGTTCTGCACAAGGGCCTCTCACTCAAACTACAATTCCGGGAGAAGCTCTGCCTGCACTGTGTCCGCCACCCGGTCTGGGGCAGAGGGAGCAGGCCAGTGGCTGAGCAGAGCCAGCAGAGCTGAGCACCTAGCTGGAGGGGTGCAGCATCGGTGCGCACACTGCGGGGCCGGCCGCAGCAGTGCGGCGCTCACAGCCCAGCGGGTCCCTTTGAGCGGTTTGCACCTAAAAAAGTTCCCTTCTTCACCGCAACCCGAACTGGATTCCCTTTGGCACTGATTGGCACCTTCACCAAGGGCACCTGCCCTTGCCTTCCGCCCCGGCCCCGCCTTCAGTGTCGGCTCGAGGCGCCGCCCCGCCCCTTGCGTCCACCCAGCCCCGCCCCTTACGTTCGCCCCGCCCCGCCCCTGCGTTCATCCGCGCCCCAGGCCCGCCCCTGCTTCCGCCCTAGGCCCCGCCCCCTCGCTCACCAGCGCGCCGAGGCCCCGCCCCGGCGTGAGGCGGCTGCGCGCGCCGGCGCCGGGGGCGTGGTCTCGGCCGCGCGCCCCGCGGCCTCTGCGGCGCCGTTGGCCGTTGGCGCGGCTTCGGCGGTTGTCTTGGAGAAGCAAGATGGCGGCGACGGCGGCCGCGGTGGCGGCGGAGGAGGACACGGAGCTGCGGGACCTGCTGGTGCAGACGCTGGAGGGCAGCGGGGTCCTGAACCGCATCAAGGTCGGCGGGGGCCTGGCCGGGCCTGCGGAGGGCGCGCGGGCCCGGGGCCTGTGCGGGCGGCGGGCGTCACAGAGGGGCCGGGGCGCCGGGCGGGTCCGGGGTCCGGTCTGTGGCGGGGAGGGGGCGGCTCGGGGTTCCGGGTCCCGGGTCCCCACCTCCGAGCGGCGGGTGCCGTCCGGGCGGCGCGTGTCCCGGGACCCGCTCCTCAGGCGCCGCGGGGCCGGCCGGCGCGGCCGCGGGGCGCGGGGCGCGGGGCGCGCTCGGGAGGGGCGACCCCTGGCCGCGCCGGCCCCGCCGCCGCCAGGCTGCCCCGGGCTCCCCGGCCCTGGACCTCGGGCCCCGGGCCCCGGGCCCGCGCCCTCCGCCGGGCCGGTCTGACACCCCTCTTCTTTCCTCTCCAGGCGGAACTCCGGGCGGCCGTGTTTTTGGCGCTCGAGGAGCAGGAGAAAGTCGAGGTAGGACGTCCGCGTCTCCCCCCTCCCGGGCCGCGGCTGGGCCGGTGGGCGGGTGCCCGCGCCGGGGGTGCCCTCTGTTCCAGGAGGAGGGGCGGGAGTGTTGTTTGGGGTCCACGGGGGGATGTCAGGCTTCTGAGCGCCCGGACGCGGAGCCAGCACCGAGTGTGGTCGCAGACCCCTCTCTGCAGGGACCTGAAACCCGGCCATGGCGGCAGCGGTGTGAGCCTTTCCCAGAACGGTCGGACCGCACCGTTTTCTGTTTTTAAGTTTATTTATTAGCTTTGTTTCAGAGTGGAAGGGAGAGAGAGAGAGAAACATTAATGATGAGGATCGTGGATTGGCGCCTCCTGCACCCCCCTTGCTGGGGATCCAGCGGGAAACCGGGCCTGTGGCCTGAGCGAGACCCAGCCGGACCTCCTGGTTCCTGGGCTCACACTCGATCACAGTGGTTTTGCACCCACGCAGTCTGTCTTTCTGCCCAGAGTCCCACCATGAAGCTCTGTGAGTGCATTCAGCTTTTTCTCTCTACCCCGCTCCCGCCACCTCCTGAGTGGATGTCCCGGAACTTGCAGTCCACGAGAGTCGCTTCATAATCCTGCCTTCACCCCCCTCGGAGCCACCGCCTCCGATGCCCCGTGGTTCGGACTTTTGGGAATTTTCCTGTTGTTTCTCTTGATCACTCCTTGGGTCCTCCGTGTGATCTTTTTCTGTTCCTTCATTGGCAGCCTCGGTGCGGCATCCCGAGCTGTCATCTGTTCTCCCTGAGCCCTGACCCACCAGCAGCTGTGGCCGGTTCTCGGTCCGCCCGTGTCGCCTCCTGAGCTTCGGGCCGCTCCTCCCTCCTGGGCCGCTGGCGTCAGTGCTGTGCGGAGAGGTCTGAGGACGGCTCTGCTTCCTGCGTCCTCTCCGGGCGGCTCTGCCCTCCCCGCGCTCCTCTGCTGTCCCCAGTCTTCCCGAAGCTTTCCTCCGCGTGTTTAATAATACTCCATCTGCCCGTCCATTTCTTTACATATTTCAGTTGACTCGACATCTTAAAGTTTCCTACACAAGCCTACTTGAGTACCTTTGTGATCTTTACCCTCCTTGTGTTTTTTGAGTATTTTTAAATCTATTGAGGAATAGCCCTAGCTGGTTTGGCTCAGTGGGTAGGTCGTCGGCCTGTGGACTCTATCCTCAGTAGAGGGCGTGCAGGAGGCAGCCGATCGATGATTCTCTTATTTAAAAACATTTTTTTTCTTCATTGATTAAGGTATTACATATGTGTGTTTATCCCCCTATTGCCTCTCCCCCCCACCACCACTCATGCTCTCACCCCACTGTGTCTGTGTCCATTGGTTAGGCTTGTATGCATGCATACAAGTCCTTTGGTTGATCTTTCCACCTTACTCCCACCCTCCCCTGCCTTTCCTCTGAGGTTTGATGGTCTGATCACTGCTTCTCTGTCTCTGGATCTGTTTTTGTTCATTATATTTCACAAATGAGTGAGATCATGTGATATTTATCTTTCTCTGACTGGCTTATTTTGCTTAGCATAATGCTCTCCAGTTCCATCTCTATTTTTCATTTTTCTACCTCTTCCTTTCTCTCTGAAGAAAAAAAAAAAAAAAAGATGAACATATCCATGACCTTGAAAAGTTTCCTCAGGCACCTGGACAGGTGGCTCAGTCAGTTGGAGTGTAGACCCCATACCAAAAAGTTGCCGGTTCAGTTCCCAGTCAGGGTATGTACCTGATGCAACTTACTGATGTTCCTCTCTCACGTTGATATTTCTCTCTCTCCCTCTGCAAAGTCAACAAAAACATGCTTGGGTGAGGATTAAAGAAAAAGGCTTTCTCAAGCCCCTTCACGCCCTTTGGCCCCCCCGCCCCCCCCCCCCACCTCCAACCCGGGCAGCCGAGGCCGAGGGCTTCTGACAGCGAGGCCATTGGAACCGCACAGCACGCACTCACATTTCTTTACCTTTGGTCTGGCCGTGTTCTCGCCGCATAGTGAGTGTACAGACTCATTCATGTGGCCGTCGGTTTCCCGCATCGTGCTGGCTGTGTGAACGTCTGCAATTTGTTCATTCACCTGTGGTGGACGGGTTGTTTCCAGCTTTAACTCATACACAAGGCTGCTGGAACATGCGTGTGCGTGCGTGTTGCTGGGACCTGCCCTTTCCTCTCTTGAGGAAATACCTCGGCAGGTGACCACACGGAGGGCCTCGGCACCTTTGTACAACGTGCCCAGACGGGCTTCCCCAGAGTGGGCACCATGCCTCCTCGGCCGCAGTGCTGTGCCTCTGCGGTCTACGTGAGCAAGCTTTGATGTGCAGGAGTATGTTTTTTTTTTTTTAATTTACTCAAATGTCTAATGATAATCAGTTGGCCTACGCGCTCCATAAAGTCATGTGACCTGCTATAGGTGGACTGCAGATGGCAAGTGTGTAATTAAAGTCCTGTTCATAGCGTCATATGGTTGATAGCTAAGATGGCAGTATCAAATTCATAAAGCTGAAATAATAATCAGTTTTTTATAAGTGTTATTTCACATGAGTATTTGGAAGTCTGGCTTCTAAAATACTTTAGTCAGCAATTAATAAAACATTTAAAATGAGTATAAGTCTTCATATATGGCTTTGTTTTATTAATTTTGAGATATTATTCAATAGCACAAAGCAGTTCCTTTAGTGATCAATAGTTGTGGAATGGGGTTAACAATTGTTTGGGTGACAATATTTTACTTACATCTTTGCCAGAAAGTTATACTTTAATCCACATTTTGTAGTCCTCATAATAAACACATGACACTGACAATATTTTATTATTTTTTTTAACAGAATAAAACTCCTTTAGTCAATGAGAGCCTGAAGAAGTTTTTAAATACGAAAGATGGTAAGATGTTCAGCTCTTCTTTATTTTGTCTGTCTGTACATTTCCAAATCCTGACTACTTGGGAGAAATCAGGCATTTCAGATTATTTTTTGGTGTTTGTGATTCTTATAGGTCCTTATAACTCAAAATGAGATTTTATTGGGCTGCTGTTAAGTTGCTTTGCTTACCATGGGTCCGGTGTCACTATAAGAGGCAGAACCGTCAGTGAAGTGTCACAGTATCTTCTCGATGGTTGCTGCCAGACCTAGGATCCCAGTGAGAACAAGGGAGACCGGTTTCCATCACTTACTTGTACGCAGCAAAGAGGAATCCATGGTTAAACAATGTGGCCACTCCTCCCATGAGTGCAGCCTGTCCTCCTCAGTGTCAGGAGGCTCCGGCGTGAAGGCTCGCTCACCGCCTCTCTCGCCCCGCAGGCCGGCTGGTGGCTAGTCTGGTGGCAGAGTTTCTCCAGTTCTTCCATCTTGACTTCACCTTGGCCGTTTTCCAACCGGAAGCTAGCACGGTAAGAATGATTGTCACCTCACCTTTGAAGCCTTTGATACCAGTGAGCTCATGAACAGCTGAAAGTTAGCACTTGACAGCTGTAGTGTCTTGCATAATGATGTTTCTATAGCTCCCTGATTTTCTTAAACATCATCCGAGCTGGCAGCAGGTTCTAGGCCCCTGCTTTACTTAACTGGAAGGGAGTGTTGTTGTGAAGCTGGCTTGTTCTGTTAGGCTGTAGCTGTTAGTGTGAACTTGGAGTGTGGAGACTGGTGAAAGGAATAACAGATGTAAGCAACCTGACTCATTTTCTATACGCAGAATCCCAAATAGAAACTTGCTCATGTTGTGGCATTGTATTTTGTGTGTTTATGTCACACACGTGAGCAACTGTGCTTCCTGTGGAAAAAGTGGCATTAAACGGTGTGGGTGTTTGAGGGCTCCATCTGTTCAGTGAGTGTGTATTTGGGAGTGAGCTCGGGGTTCGGGGGTGGGGCTCTGTGGCCACCTTCAGTCCCCCTTCCCTCAAATATATATGTAATTTTTTAAAATGGATGTTTCATTCATGAGAAAAACAGTCTCTGAGTTTAGAAAGATGTCTTTAGGTTCTGAAAATATATTTTTTTTAACTCTGAGTAAGTAATTGTGTTATGTATCTGTGCACTTATAGCTTACTTTTGCATCTTATTTCTGCCCTAGTTTCAAGGTCTGGAAGACCGAGAGAATTTAGCCCGGGACTTGGGCATTATTGAAGCAGAAGGCACTGTGGGTGGACCCTTGCTATTGGAAGTGATCCGGCGTTGTCAGCAGAAGGAGCGAGGGCCCGGCCGTGGGGAAGTAAGTGCCGCCTGTGCTTCGTTACCGCCTGGTTATACTGCTACCCCGCGCAGCCCCGCCTTCTGTGCAGTGGATCAGGTGTAAGTTAAAGACTTTTCCTTGGAAACAAAGTGAAACACACTCAGATCGGTAAAGTGCACGTTATAATGAAAACGGAAGTGTGGGTGTTCTGAGCTGCTGCCGCCCAGTTCTGTGGATAGATCCTGCTGCCCGCTGGCTGACTAGTGCTCACCACCCTTTCTGACTAGTGCTCACCTCCCTGCTGACTAGTGCTCACCACCCTGCTGACTAGTGCTCACCTCCCTGCTGACTAGTGCTCACCTCCCTGCTGACTAGTGCTCACCTCCCTGCTGACTAGTGCTCACCACCCTTTCTGACTAGTGCTCACCTCCCTGCTGACTAGTGCTCACCACCCTGCTGACTAGTGCTCACCTCCCTGCTGACTAGTGCTCACCTCCCTGCTGACTAGTGCTCACCACCCTTTCTGACCAGTGCTCACCACCCTTTCTGACTAGTGCTCACCTCCCTGCTGACTAGTGCTCACCACCCTTTCTGACTAGTGCTCACCTCCCTGCTGACTAGTGCTCACCACCCTGCTGACTAGTGCTCACCTCCCTGCTGACTAGTGCTCACCTCCCTGCTGACTAGTGCTCACCACCCTTTCTGACCAGTGCTCACCATCCTTTCTGACTAGTGCTCACCTCCCTGCTGACTAGTGCTCACCACCCTGCTGACTAGTGCTCACCACCCTTCTGACCAGTGCTCACCATCCTTTCTGACTAGTGCTCACCTCCCTGCTGACTAGTGCTCACCACCCTGCTGACTAGTGCTCACCTCCCTGCTGACTATGCGCCCACCTCCCTGCTGACTAGTGCTCACCTCCCTGCTGACTAGTGCTCACCACCCTTTCTGACTAGTGCTCACCTCCCTGCTGACTAGTGCTCACCACCCTTTCTGACTAGTGCTCACCTCCCTGCTGACTAGTGCTCACCTCCCTGCTGACTAGTGCTCACCACCCTTTCTGACCAGTGCTCACCACCCTTTCTGACTAGTGCTCACCTCCCTGCTGACCAGTGCTCACCATCCTTTCTGACTAGTGCTCACCACCCTGCTGACTAGTGCTCACCACCCTGCTGACTAGTGCTCACCACCCTTTCTGACTAGTGCTCACCTCCCTGCTGACTAGTGCTCACCTCCCTGCTGACTAGTGCTCACCACCCTTTCTGACTAGTGCTCACCTCCCTGCTGACTAGTGCTCACCATCCTGCTGACTAGTGCTCACTGCCCTTTCTGACCAGTGCTCACCACCCTTTCTGACTAGTGCTCACCTCCCTGCTGACTAGTGCTCACCATCCTTTCTGGCTCGGACTCACCCTCGTTCCTCTTGGGAAGGGTCTGAGCTCGGCGTGGGCACCTGGAGCTCCGGCACAGGCCACTGCTGAAGAGATGGCGAGAACACGCCAAGCATTAGCCTTCTCAGTGCTCACACATAGAAAGTTCGAGTTACAGAGTACTTGATTTTTGAATTGGAAGGCTTTTCTAAACTAGATCTAAAACTGTTTGGGCTATTGGTTTTTTCTTATTTCTAGACATTTCCTAATTCCTGTGTGTTGATTAGCCATTACCTTTCTTATTCCTAGCCTTCCCTTTAAGAAATACTGCTAATGAGATGAACGGTCTGAGTTCTGTTTCCGGGAGGGTCCTGTCACAGGCGTAGACAGCGTCTGAACGGTCCCAGGGAGCTGGTTAAGCGGTGCTTCTGGCCGCAGGGAAGTGTGAGGAGCTGTGGCTGCCTTGCGTCCCTCCATCTGGACAGCCTCAGAGCTCCTGTTAGAGCCTCTGGATCCGTTCGGGCCGGCAGAGGGCCCGTTGCACAATAAATAATTCTTTTCATAAAAGGAAAAACGTGAAAATAGGTGCACTAGAAGGGTAGAGAGCTGTTCAAGATAAGATGCTTTCGTAAGAAAACGCACATTTAATGGTTTGTGATTATAGAGGAAGCATACAGTAATTGATTAGTTCTAAACATTCTGAGTAATAATTTTTAGTCAAAGGGGGCAGAGTATTTCATGTTAAAGTTTGTTCAACTCAACCTTAATGTGAAAGCTGGGCAGGGGATGGGCAGGTGCGGAGGAGGAGGGGCCTGGGGCCTGGCCAGAACCAGGCTGTCCCTGCATGCGCATGTGTGCATTGTGATTTCGTTCATAATGGCTCGACGAGGTTGGTGAGCACGCATTACAGGATGGGCACTGTGCTGGCTGCAGTGGACAAAAGAGCCTTACCCACATGTAAGGCTCCCGCTCTCCGGAGCTGCCTCTGGAAATGCTGGTGACGGCTCCCGGCTTCTGTGGCCCTGACCTCTATCCTCCCCTCCCCTCCCCTCCCCTCTTTTCCCCTCCCCTCCCCTCCCCGGTGCACCTCATGCATGCATACTGGTTGCCCACCTTTTCTCGCAGGTCTGCTGTCCCTTCTGTAGCCACTGGGAATAGCCCAGACTCTGGAGCCAGACTGCTTAGCTTCACACCCAGCTCGCCATGCCCTGTGTGTGGCCCTCCTCAGCTACACGCCTGAGGCTCCTCCCCGGGAAGTGGAGGTGGAAGGCAGCGGGTGGGGTGTGGTGTGGACTGAAGGCCTCTGTGTGTGAAGCTCGGGGAACAGTGCTGGGCGTTGGCGGCTGCACCACTGCTGGCCATCGTTCCCGTTCCCGTCTCTGATTCTGCGGCCATTGCTGTTGGGACGGCTCCCTGAGTCCCATCAGTCCTTTCCCCTGATTCCCACTCCTCCCCCGTCAGCCCACTAGAAGCTGGAGGCCTGGTGAAGGCGACATGGGACAGAGTCCTGGTTCTGGTCCTTCTGCTGCCTCCTCTGCTGGTGCTGGTTTTGTCCCTGACTCCTGCTTCAGCCCAGGGGCGGCCGGCTGCTCCCGAGGTGTCTGCTGTGTGTCTGCTGGTTCAGAAGGCATTGGGAGGCCGGGCGGGCCAGAGCCCCGGGAGGTGGGAGGAAGGGAGGGCTGCCCTGGAAGAGAGGGTTGCCCACTAGGGAGCAGCGGTGTGAGAGGTTCCTCGAGACGAAGAAGCAGCCAGTCCGGGGCAGAGCAGGTGTCTGCAGGGTCGGGCAGGACCGGGTTCGGCAGGGCGGGGCCTCACAGAGCAGGCTGATTGAGGGGCTGCTCGGCAGTAATCAGACTCTGAATGCGTTTCGCTTTTAAAATTAAAATTGGGGAAATCTAATGAGGATATTGACATTAATTAGGAGGAAGTCAACATGCCAACCTGTGGAGTCATTTTAAATGCTGAAGCTCTAGGAGGTGTAACTAGTGTGTCTATGTGTAGATGTGCTAATTTTAAACGGAATGTTCTAGGGTGCCCTGGACCTGGCGGATGCGCATTCTCCACCGCCGTCGCCAGAAGGAAAGCTGAGCACGCACACGGGCCCCAGTAAGGTGAGTCCGCGGCTCAGGGACCAGCCGGCCGGCAGCCCAGCTTGGGTTCCTCCCAGTCCCACGCCCAGTCCCACGCCCGGTCCCACACGTCACACTCCTGCTCAGTTCTGCCACTGCTGCTTCCTTTGGGTGAAGTGTAGGTTTTAAGCATTATTTTCCTTTAATTGGTAGTTTCTTGAATTTTGTGTCATAGAAAGGAATATGCTATTAAACAGAATTGTAGAATATTGGACTCATTTGGTACTTTGAACATTACTTCTCATTTATGCATTCCTAACTGGAGCAGGTTAGGCTGGGAGTGTAGATCGCGGTGTGAACAGTGTAGCTGGGTGGCAGTCTGCCTGACGGGTGTCGATAGTAATGAGGCGTTTTGAGGATTCGTAAGGACTGTGAGCTTGGGCCATATTGGTGTGAGATTTCTGAGTGGTTGAAGTTAGGGCCTGATTCAGGGGTTTGGTATCACAGAGAGTGAACTGGTGGACACTGGGTTCACGTCCAGGGTGTTTGTGCTGCTGGCAGAGCGAGTCAGGAGCAAGTGTGTGGGGCCAGTCTGGCCCTGCAGGAGCAGTCCAGAGTGCTCCTGGGGCAGCCGGACCGGCAGGTCTGCTGTGTCTGACCGGGGCTGGGAGAGGGGTGACAGGCTGCTGTGGGGGGCCTAGGGCTTGTCGGGGCCTAGACAGGGCCCTGGGGGGGGACTCCTGCTGCTGTCAGTGTGGTCGGTCCTGGGTGTTGTCCATTGTGTGGGGTGCTGTTAGCGGCCGCTCTGTGGGCGGGCCTTTACGGCTTTCCCTCGATGCTCAGGGCAGGTTTACGGAGTCCCTTGGAGCAGCTGCCAGAGAGAAAGCCTTTGTCACAGCTCTGCTTTCTGTGAAAATACCATGACACACATCCCCACATGCTTACTAGTACCCGGCGCCTTGTGCTATTCGGAAGTTCTCTTTGTCAGTCATTCTTAAAGCAAATTAGCAAGACTAACCTTCCCCATAAGGTATGTCCTCAAAATAAGATACTAATGTCTGTTTTGCCTATTTTTACTCTCTTTATAGATATTATTTTAGGAGTTAAGAATTATGGTGAGAATCTGCCGAAACCGGTTTGGCTCAGTGAATAGAGGGTCCCGGGTTCAATTCCAGTCAAGGGCATGTACCTTGGTTGCGGGCACATCCCCGGTGGGGGGTGTGCAGGAGGCAGCTGATCGATGATTCTCTCTCATCGATGTTTCTAGCTCTCTATCCCTGTCTCTTCCTCTCTGTGAAAAAAAATCTATAAAAATATATATATATATATAAAAAAGAATTATGGCGAGAATCTGACATGTTAAGTCATTTAGGAAGTGTTGCTCTAAACCAGTGATTTTTACCCGTGAGCGTAAGCATGTTTCCTGCATGCAGTGTCAGGCACCGCCTCTTCCCCGCAGACGGTCACATGTAAACGACAACAGCTGGCACAACATGGCCGCCCAGTGTGGCCGAGTCCGAATGACGGCAGTTTTTTGGGTCAGATTGGCGAAATGTCTTTGGTGTGCTGCAGGTGTTTGGTCTGTGTGGGCCGGAGAGGGAAAAGATGGAAAATCGCTGCTCTCCATGGTCCCGGAGGAGTGAGGGTTCTGAGGCTGTTAGAGGACAGACCTGCAGGGCCCTCACTCCTCCACCTTCTGCCTCAGGCACCCCACAGGGAACACTGCAGCTCTTCTCTGCGGGCCTGGCTCAGATACCGCCCATGGTCCTCACCGCCCGGGTTTGGGTGCCAATACTTGGCTCACCCTTTCAGTGCCTGAGCCATCAGGGGCTCTAGAAGGGCCTCTGCCTGCTGTCCTCCTGCTCAGAGCAGAGCCCCAGGGACTCAGGGACGGGTGGCCCAGGCAGGGTCCCGCCAGCCCTGGGGACCTGCTTTGTGCTCCTGAGCAGGGGGCGGGGCCCCGGCCTGAAAGGAAGCTGCTCAGGAGCACAAAGCTTCTCAGCGCGACTCGGTGAGCAGGAGAGAGGGCCTGTCCATGGGGAGGGCGTGTCTGTCCACGGGGAGGGTGGGCCTGCCTATGGGGAGGATGGGCCTATCCACTCGGAGGCGGGCCTGTCTATGGGAGGTCAGGCTTGACCAATAACTGTTGGGCGGGGTGATTAAACATGAGTTGAGCCCCTTGAGTAAGAGAGGTAAAAAGACCAAAGAAGTGGGTTTCCTAAAGGAACATATTAATATCTCCATTTTAAGGAAATTTTCTAATAGGAATCCCTTTTAGTTTATGAATTAGTTTATTTTGAAAGATTATACTTTGTGGTAAAACATGGTTTTATTCTCATGCTCAGATACCAAGGTATAAAGGACAAGGTAAGAAGAAGACAAGCGGGCAGAAGTCTGGTGCCAAGGTAACATGCATGAGGGCAGGGGACAGCAGCCTCGGGCCTGCAGCCCATTGCGCGGGCGCTTCTTTGGAATGTCACCCTCTTTTCTCTGTCAGGCATGGTAGTCTCGGTGGCATAAACGAGAAGTAGTTTGACTTTCAGTTTTATCCAGGTGCAAGTCACACTGTTATGTTTTTAAACTGTGCTGTCAGTTTTAAGGTTTTTTTGTGGTTTTTTGACAACAAAAAAAGTTGAAAATACTTAATTTTTGAATGGATGGTCATGTCCATATTCTGTACGTGATTTTTATCTGAGGCCAGTAGAACACTGCACGGCTTTTTGGTACATTCCTACCGGCAAATTAAAGGCGAAACTTAGTTCCCTCATGGTGTTTGGTGTGCACAGCTGTGACCCGTGCACAGGGCTCAGCCTTAAAACCCCAGGGGAGGGCGGAGCCACAGCGCGCTGTGCCTGCTGCCCGCACTGCGTCCTCCCCTAAGATCACAAAAAGCGACCAAGCCTACCCTGGCCACTTTTACGTTTTAAATGTTAGAGGTCTGAGAAGCAGTGGCAGTCAGCCGGTTCTTACAGTAAGGTGTCCTCTACCGTGCCGGTCTGTGGGGCTCAGCGCAGGTGAGCTTGGTTTCAGGAGAGAGCCTGAGGGCTCGCCGTGCTGGCTGCCTTCGCCCTGCTGGCTCAGCGGCGAATTCCTGTCCTTCGTTCACACTGTTTTCATGCCTTACCACATGAGATGCTTTAAAATGTTATCAGCACGCCCTTTCCTGTGCCCTTTTAAGGTTGACTGAGTGCCTTAAGAGGCTAACACAGAAGGGTACATGAAGCAAGTCTCCATAAAACCCAGAGAAGAGATGGCAAAACTCCTCTCTGGATCCTGTCTGGAGTCACAGCTGAAAAAAAAGAAAAAGAAAAAAAAATGTTATCAGCAATATGTCTGCACATTTGCATAGAGAAACTCCTGTGTCAGTGCCCTGAGCGAGACAGTGAGCATGGTCCTCACTCACTAGGAAGGCGTTTACAGTGGCATTGGAGAGGTGACACACCTTCAGAACGGTCGTCAGAAACAGGCCAGCATGCTTCATAGCCGCCGTTAGTCAGCTCCTCGGACGTAAGAGCGTGTTCCATGACACCACGCTGTGTGATCCTGTTGGTGTCGTGGGTTCAGAGAGGTCCGGACATTTGGAAGCAGTGGTCCGTGGGAACAGCACGCGGAGGGAGGGTCAGCGAGCAGCGTGGGCCCGGACTCCTGCCCGGGCAGGGCCTCGGGCGCTCGGGGCCTCGGGGTCTGAAGAGCCTGTGCGGCCCGGGTCCTGACGCCGGAGCCCCAGGTGCTGCCTCAGTCGCTGTGAACCTGGTTTCCTCTGCGCCCTGGCCTTGTTGGGGCATGGCTTTAGAAGTCTGTGGTGCCAGCACCGTTTCCAGCCACAGAGATGATTCTCAGCCCGTCATCCCTCTGCTTTCCGCTCTGCCTTGTGCCCTCAACCCCCCTCCTAACGTCTGAATAACCCATCCCCAGCTGCATGTGTGTGTCATTGCGGCTACACAGCTGGACGCCAGGGGGCGCCGTTCACACGCAGCAGGACGGCACTTCCCATGGGCAAAGTCGAGCTTCGCCCCGCTTGTCCATGAAGCACCCGGGCGCCCAGCAAGGCCTGCGGGTGCCTTGTAGCTTCTGTTGTGAGCAGAAGGCCGAGCTCATTTTGCAGATGAACTTTTAAAAAGTCATTCACGTGTGTATAAAACTGATTTGTACTTGCTAGTGTGAGCCTGTCAGAATGCAAAGCAAAACCCAAGGTTTTGACCTAATTGAACTTGGGTCAGATAAAAGTATTTCTGGGTTTGCGATTGTGGGTCAGTAAAAGGTGGACAGAAGAAGTGGAATCTGAGGTGGTAGATTAGGGGTGTCAAACTCAATCAGAGAAGGGGCCAAAATCTAAAATCCAGCCTAAATCGCGGGCCGAATGGTTTACTGAACAGTCATAAACTGTCATTGTGATGGAAACGCAGCGGAGTGCAGTGATGACAGCGCGGTGCGGGCCACATTGCAAGGCCTGGCGGGACGGATTTGGCCTGCGGGCCTTGTGTTTGACACATGTGTGGTAGATGGTAAGTGGGAGGGCATTTCTTTAATGAGGTGACATTGTACACTGTGTGGACACTGACCCCTGAGTGTCACCTGGTCACTGGAAACCGTCCTGTCGTCTGAAAGGCTTGTCGGCAGTTACAACAGCCCTTGGCAGCTCCACTCACCTGGAAAACCAAATAGTAGATGGTTTTGTTTTTAATACTTGGAATAAAGTGCTTTTTATCTTCATAATAATGTAATATAGAGGGTCAGCCTTTTTATAATCACTTTTCAAGTGTTTTTAAACTTGCGTATTGAGGTATTTTTTGCTTCAAGTTCTTTTACAAAGGACCATTTTTTAAATCGTTGCTCTTTTTTCAAAATTCTGGAATAGGCCCAGCATCACGTTGATTTAGGGCAGTGGTGTGTATGTGTGTGTGTGTGTGTGTGTGTGTGTGTGTGTTTGGGATGGGGGGATGTTTCTGTGTCTTATTTCTTTAAAAAATATATTTTATTGATTTTTTTACAGAGAGGAAGGGAGAGAGATAGAGAGTTAAGAACATTGATGAGAGAGAGTCATCAATCAGCTGCCTCTTGCACATCCCCTACTGGGGATGTGCCCCCAACACGGTACATGCCCTTAACCGGAATCGAACCTGGGACCCTTCAGTCTGCATGCTGACGCTCTATCCACTGAGCCAAACCGGTTTTGGCTGTTTCTGTGTCTATTACAGACACGTTAGTTTTCTAGATAAAACAAGCGTTTTTGTTCCCGTCATACACTCACACACTCTCTCACACATACACAGGCGCGCACACACACATCCTAAATGCAGGAGCACTCATAGTGGGCAGTGTGCCCAGCACTCCGCCTGACCAATGTCCACTCCTGTCTGCTTCAGACCCGAGACCTGACTTCTGGGCACTGCTGTCCTCTGACCCAGAGCAGCCGGCTTCTTAGGGCTGAGCGTGGAGCAGCTGTGCGGGCCGTCCAGTCTGGTTTTAAAGCCGGAGTGCTGCAGGCGGGCCTGCTTGTGAGGGAGTAAGGAAATAGGTCTTCTCCAGGACCACTGAGCTTCCAGGAAGGGTTTGGGTTTCTGTGATTCTAGAATAACACAGTGTTTACTCTCTGTGTGCATGAATTAAACTTTTAGGGGTGTGTGTGTGTGTGTGTGTGTGTGTGTGAGAGAGAGAGAGAGAGAGAGAGAGAGAGAGAGACAGCTGTAGTAAGTTAATTTACTAGTAAGTCTCGGGTCATAAACTGCCTTTGGTGGGTTTGGGTAGGGAAGCTGGGGGGGGGGGTAAGGCATGGGCAGGAAGAGAATTTGTATGAATTTTGTAAACTTGGAAAACTTTCTTTGTCTTTAATGTGTCTGTTATGAGCTGTTCAGATTAAGCCTTTAGTTTGGAAAAGCTTTTTTTCTAGTTCATAGACACTTTAGGAATCAAGGTTTTGGTTGTTATATTGTTAACACAGGCATGTTTAAGGGCAAAGAAACCGGTGAAGGACAGAATCCAGTTAGGTTTTGAGGGTCGGGGTTAACTGGAGACAAGGGAACACGTGTTGTTGGATGCAGGCTGGGACAGGAGGGAGGGCGCTCCAGGGCCTTGAACGTTGGTAAATGCTCAGGGGCCGGCCAGTGTAGACGCTCGGGGGTGGTCTGTGTAGATGCTTAAGGGCTGATCCGTGTAGACGCTCGGGCGCCGGCCCGTGTAGATGCTCAGGGGACCGGCCCCTGTAGACGCTCAGTGACCGGCTCATGTAGACGCTTGGGGGCCGGCCCCTGTAGACACTCGGGGACCGGCTCATGTAGACGCTTGGGGACCAGCCCCTGTAGACGCTCGGGGGCCGGCCCCTGTAGATGCTTGGGGACCGGCTCATGTAGACGCTTGGGGACCAGCCCCTGTAGACGCTCGGGGGCCGGCCCCTGTAGACGCTCGGGGACCGGCTCATGTAGACGCTCGGGGACCAGCTCATGTAGACGCTCGGGGACCGGCCCCTGTAGACGCTCGGGGGCTGGCGGACGTGCCATGGACATGGAGTGCGGTGGGGCGCCCTCTGAGGTCTGAGTGGAGGCCAGGGCTGCCCTGGCGCAGAGCTCCGCTGTAGACCGCACACAGTGGTGGCTCCTCGTTGGGGTGCGGTGTGCTGGGCTCTGGGCGGAAAGGCTGTGCTCGCTTTGCTGTAATTCTTGGTTCGTGTGTGTGAACTAACCTTCCTTTGCCTCCACGTTGGGCACCCTGACTTACGGTAACTGGCGGAGCAGGGAGAGATGCAGAGAGGAAGTGGGAAGTCATGAGTAAATGGAGTGGCATAGCAAGGGTTCCTTCAGGGAGTGTGAGGAGTGGTGCTCACCCGTTTCTCTGGCATTCCCCTGGCGGGCCTGAGGCCTGGGCCAGCTGAGGGCCGGGGGTCACTGCAAGCCCCTCCCCCCATCCCTCCCGGCCCTGCACTCATGCCAGGGGGTGCAGCTGTCCAGGACCCCGTATGATTTAAACACCTTATCACAGTCTTACTTCACCAGGGACCTGCCTCTCCCCCGTCTGTTCTAGAAAGCCGGCAGCAGTGCTAGTCAGAGCGACACGAGCATCTCCTCATCAGAACCAAGGAGCAAAGGCAGCCTCCACTCACTGGCCCAGGAAGCAAAACTGGGGCCTTTCTTAAGCAACAAGAGCCTGGATGTCACGGACAAAGCTGGCCTTTGTCCACACGAAGATGACCTGGACGGAGATTCTTTCTTTGACGATCCCATTCCCAAGCCCGAAAAGACCTACGGTTGGTGAGTCGACCCTTTGGGGTTATCAGAATAGAGGCTTAAAAAGGTAATTTCTCAACCTGTTATTTACAGTTAAGAAACAGTGAGCTGCTAAAGGTTCCATACTTACTAGACACGTGAGTGTGATTTGTGTGATCAAAGCCTTCAATGCGATCATGCGTCCAGAGTGAGGAAGCCAGGTCAGTGGTCGGCAAACTGCGGCTCTGTTGACTGAGTTTGCCTACCACTGGGTTAGTCAGATGGTGGCACTGGGGGGCATGCTGATGGGTCCGAGTGGGCTCAGGAAGGACAGAGGAGAGGGCTGTGTGTGGTGAACATTTTTTTGATGAGTTTCATAGGAGGGTGCAGAGGAATGGGTGGGGCTGGAGGGCGGGGGTGGGAGGTGGGGTCAGAACCATTAGAGAGAAAAATTAACAGCGTGCATGTACTAGCATGTGGATGAGAACAGTCCTGGGTTTTTTGTCTGTTAATGCTCACCTGAGGATGTTTTCCCATTGGTTTTTAGAGAGAGTAGGAGGAAGGGAGAAAAGAAAGAGAGACAGCGATGTGAGAGAGACACATCGATTGGTTGCCTCTGCACGTGCCCTGACCAAAGCTTGTGATGGAGCTTGAAACCCAGGTATGTGCCCTTGACTGGAATCAAACCCACGGCCCTTTCGTCCACTGTATCCACTGAGCCAAACCGGCCAGGGTGAGAACAGTTTCCAGAGAGAAGTCAGTGATGTGGGCCCAGGTTTCTGCAGAGCTACACTGAGTGCCCAGGCCTTGGTCTTCGCTGGGCGGTGGATGTGAGGGAGGAGAGCTGCTGAGAGGAGCACAGACCGTGGCGAGGAGGAGCAATGGGAGGTCGCACGGAGTTGGGCCTCCTCGCCCTCCGGTGCGGTGCACTGTGTGTTCTTGGTGTCCTGTGAGATCTGCTTGTGCTGCTCTGGGCCGGGCAGAGGCCGGAGCGCATTGACTGTGCTTGTTTCCTGTTAGGAGAAGTGACCCTGGGAAGCCAGGAGGGAGCCTCACCTCGCTCGCCGACGCCCCCTCCTTGAAGAGTGGTCTCGGCCCCCTGCCGGGAGCCCCCTCCCTGAAAGACTCAGAAGGTGAGTGCTGGCTGCAGGGGTGGCACTAGATTCTGTGTTTCTCTCTAGCTCATTGTGGAGCATTTGGTCATTGCTTATTTTTTCAGAAGAACATATGTAAGATCATAAAAACAGCCCATAACGTTACCATTCAGAAATAGATTCTGTTAATACTATGTTCTGTTTGTTAAATTTTTAAGATATGGCTTTATTCTGCTTTTCCTATGCCACCAAAACACTATTAGTTGACATTTTAGCTGTCTATCATGCTTATATATATATATATATATATATATATATATATATATATATATATAAAAAGCCTAATATGCTAAGTCTCTAGTCCATTCAACCAATCAAAGAGTAATATACTAATGATATGATAAGGTCACTTTGATGTGCACTGACCACCAGGGCAGACACTCTGACCGGTAGGTTAGCTTGCTACTGGGGTCCAGCCAATGAGGACTGAGTGAGATGACCAGGACATGTCCTGGAACCCTCCCACAGTCCCTCTCCAGCTGGTCAACCTTCCATGTCCTTCCCTGGCCCTGATCGTGCACCAGTAAGGTCCCTTGGCCTGGCCTGCACCCTCTCGCAATCTGGGACTCATTGGGGGATGTCAGAGAGCTGGTTTTGACCCTATCCTGCAGGCCAGGCCGAGGGACTCCACTGTGCATAAATTTGTGCACCGGGCTTCTAGTAGAGGTATAATTTTAAACCATCTCTCTTGGACATTCCGATTGAGTTGTGTAGGATTTAATTAAATTCATTTTTTCAAACATGTGTCTTATAGATTGTGTGGTGCCACAGTGATCACCTCAGGGTGTGAGAGGGATTTGGACCTGGTGTGTCCTGTGCAGCAGGGACAGGGACTGCAGCTGCAAGGAATGCCGGGCTGCCCACACATTCCGCCTGCCCGCCCTGCCCAGTTCCCCACCCCGCACGGCGCAGGCTCAGTGCTCAGGCACGGAGCTGTGGGGAGGAGCTTGGGTGCTCCGTCACAGGGCACAGAGGGTTTAATCAGCACAGTGTTAGAGTATAGCTGGGCCTCTTCCGAGTGAGTTTTCTGAAAAGTGGGTGAGCTCCATGTGAGGGAATTGCACCCGGCAGTCAGCAGTCACACTGTCACCTGGCTGAGGAAGCTTCTGTCATAAAGAAGCCCTTGTTCTGGAGGAGAAATAATTGACACGTTAATAAATGGTTGTATTCTAAATCTTGATTTAATGCAAATGTGTTTTCCTGTTCACAGGTAAAAGGGGAAACCCAGCTTTGAAAGATCTGAAGGTGGTGAATGATAAAATCGGATCCCTTGGATTAGGTAACTTGATAACCAGTTTGGAGGTGGTTATTTCACGATGGGAGTAACTGTACTGTTTATCCAGTGACTTTGTTATTTGCTTGTACTAGTGTCTTATGTATGGTAACAGTGTTATTTCTGGTCTTCGGGACTTCTTCTGTAATGATGCAGTATTAGTCAGTAATGTGTGGTTTTGGAAGGAAATGTGTGTGTTTACTATAGGTAAGTTGTGAAGTGTGTTTATATAAATATTAGCAGCCCGGTGCATGGGTTCATGTACCAGTGTGGCCCCTCAGCCTGGCCTGTGGCTCTCTGATAATCCCCAAGGGCCCCTGATTTCAAGAGGGCACAGGCCAAGCCGAGGGACCCCACCAGTGTATAATCGGGGCTGGGGAGGGACCGAGGGAGGGCTCCAGGTTGTGTCCGGCCGGTCTTGCCCAGTCCCAATCAGCTAGACCCCAGCAGCAAGCTAACCCCGGTCGGAGCATCTGCCCCCTGGTGGTTAGAGCACAACATAGCCAGTGGTCTAATCAGGCTTCATTATAGAGGATAACATGTGTCTCCCCAACCTTCCAGGGGCTGGAGAAGACGACGACTACGCGGATGACTTCAATAGGTGAGGAGCAGGCGGACACAGGCACACTGTCTGCCGTTTCTGGACGCAGGAGAGCGACAGGATGCCTGAGCTTATTTTAGTGGGCGTGGCCCTGTTCAGAGTGACGGGGTGCGGGGTGATCCAGAGCTGCACCGGCCTGGAAGCCTGGGTGGATTCCACATCCGGATGTGGGTGTTCAGGAAACTCGGGAAAATGAGTGGAAGTAGCTGAAGAACTGAGTCTCCGCACCAGGCCTCCCTAGAAAGAGGGCCTTCCTCTCCCTCCTCCTCATTTCCACTCCCCCTTCCCTTCCCCCTCCCTCTCTCCCCCTCCCTCTTTCCTCCTTCCCCCCTCCCCCTCCCCCCTCCTGGCCTCGTGGGAATTGCCCACACCTCCCTGAAACACGTGGCCCTACACGATCTTTCTGACTCAGGTGGTTGTGGGTGGGGTCATGGGAGTTGGGCAGTCACTGGTCCGGAAGTGGGGCTTGTGTTGGAGATGAGAGGAAGTTGAAGTCGGAGGCTGAGGCGGGGTGCTCAGCAGAGCCCCTGTCTGGGGATGTCTATACCCGGGAGCTGGCTAGTTGGTGGGTTCCTTTGTGAGAGGCAGCGTGGCCCTTGCTTTTCTCCTCCATCCAGTTGACTGGCCCTGCGGTCTCGCAAGGGTCTCCAGGGTCAGGTAGGTCAGGCACGGAGCTGAGGTGATGTGACACTTTATTTAGGGTTAGACGCTTGGCGTCACTCTTGCTCCCTCTCCCCTGAATTAGCACCAGCCATCGCTCGGAGAGAAGCGAGCTGAGCATCGGCGAGGAGATCGAGGAGGACCTGTCTGCGGAGCTGGACGACGCCGACACGAGCGACAAGGTGGGCAGCGTGGGGGCGGGGCCGGGCTGCCTCGGTTCATGGGCTCTAGGAGCTGCTCTGACGACGGACGGGAAATGGATGGCCGATGGACCTGGCTCAGTCTGAAAGAGCTCGAGTGAGGACTGAGCTGTGTCCACGGGGCTCTGCACAGCAGGGCAGGGCTGCACACCCGGGGGAGACAGCGCAGCAGAAATGGGCCAGGGTAGACCTGGGTCTGTGCTGGGGTTCCGCATTGGGCCTTGTGATTAGGCAGAGAGAGGATGCGCTTAGATGTGTGAGCTGGCGGCTCGGGATTGCATGTTGGTGCCAAGAGAGCTGTGGGTCTCTCGTGAGCCTGCCTTCCCCACGAGCATGCTCCCTGAGTGCGGTGACCTTTGCCCCCTGAGCACGTAACCTTTGCTCTCAGCACTATGACCTTCGAGGAAGATTGCAGCGGGAGGTTTTGGAGGGAGGGAGGCAGCGTTTGCAGTGAAGACAACACGTCTGCGCAGCAAACCTGGGCTCGCACTCGTCCTGCCTGCCCTCCGCGGCTCCCGTGCTTCCCTGGTCCGCTCGGCCTGTGCACACGTTTCCGCCGAGGAGGCCGAGGGGCACTGCGGGCAGCAGCGGGGCCGAGATGACCCTCACGGCGGCGCCGGGTTTCAGGGGATCGGAGACTGCTGTGTGCTGACCTCCTCTGTCCTGTCTGACCACAGCTCGAGGACCTGACGCAGGACCTGACCGTGTCGCAGCTCAGCGATGTGGCCGACTACTTGGAAGACGTGGCCTTCACCTGAGGACGGAGGTCGCCGCCGCCCAGGACAGACGAACCCCCCCACCCCCCACGTCCGTTCTCCTGGGCAGTGTGGCCGGAGTCTGCTCTGCTGGTGCCTTGTGTTCAGAACGACTGCAGATATTTTTGAAGATTAACTTTTCATTAACTAAACAGAACCTTCCACAGAGCCCACGCGTGGGAGATTTCCGTCTTAACCTGGTCACCTGCCCGTTTCCCTCAGAAAGCAATTCCGCTCGGATGCCTGACGAGGAGGCACGTGAGACCGCAGGACTGAGAGCGAAGAGAAAGGGGCCAGTGAAGCTGCAGGTCCCCGGCTCGCAGGCACACGTGGGCGGGGCGGGGCGGGGCGGGCGGGCAGAAGGAAGGGGTGCTGGAGCCCCGGGGGAGGCGCTGTCGTCTGTGGGGGGAAGTGACAGTGCTCTGGGTGCTGCCAGCTCTGCTCTTAAAGGGGGAGGGGGTGCGGGGTTCATTGGTGCGGGTGTCCTGGCAGCGGTGCGTCACTGCCACGTCCAGTCGAGAAGCAATCCTCGCAGGCCCTCTGACAGCTCAGTTATCATCTGACCCCGTCTTGAAACGTTCGATTCCGAGGCGCATCTGAGGCCGGCAGCCGTGCTTCCACCCGGACCTACGCGTGACGTGGGGCCCAGGTGGGGGAGCAGACGGCCTCAGACGTGTCCAGGGGCAGCTTCCTGCTGCAGCCAGTTCCACTGTCACCTCAGAGGGAGCCGCCCCTCCCTCCTCCCCCCTCCCCCGGACGGGCGCCGTGTTTACAGGGGTCACTGTGCCCACGGTACTGTTGCCCAGTGGGTGACGCGTGCCTGTGCTACAATTACAAGTGAAGCTGTGACTGCGTGGTCAGTTTTGTACTTTTTTATTTCCATTAAATTATGGCTTTTACGGAAGTCCCCTTTCCTAGTGAGAGGAGGAATGAATTGGTTGACCTCTGTCGGGGCGCGGACCTGATGGTCAGTGTGTGCTCGCGTTCATTTCTCCGCCTCACGCTCAGAAACGCCCGCCGGCTGCCGAGGAAGGGGCAGTGGTGGTGTGGGGTCAGGCTGTGGAACATTGGAGTTTGGATCTAAAATCAAGTGAAACTGAGCCATAAACGCCAGCGGGAGAGGACAGCACATGGGCCGGCGGCCTGTGGGTGGGGCTGTCCACGTGTGCGGTCGGCGCTGCAGGAAGACATGGCTGCCGCTGACGTCCTGGTGCCGCACTGGTGTCCCGTCTGCCCTCGCTGTGCAGCTTCGCTCTGCCCGCCCTCGGGAAGCGGCAGCCTGTGCCCTGTGGGCGCCGTGCGTGGTGGGGGCTGGACCTCGTGGATGGACAGTTTCCCCGAGTGTCCTTTGCTGTGGCCAGAGTCTGGCCTCCGGTCCTGTGTGGGGGATGGGAGATAATGCCAAACACGGAACTTGTTTCTCATCAGCCTCAACTGTAAATATTCCGCCGTGAAGTGTCGTTCCGTGTGTGTGTGTGTGTGTGTGTGTGTGTGTGTGTGTGTGAAATGCATATTGAAATAGCCCGTGAAATACGTTTTCATAATAAAACCTGTATTTTACAGTGGAGTTTCCAAATGCTCGCTCTCGTCTTATAGGCGGCAGTAGGAGTGAATAAAAAGCTTGCACCTTCCCTACTCTGTGTTGTGTGGCAGTGACCAGCGTTAGCTGTGGCCGCCGGTCTCCATGGCTCCTGGGCCCCTCCTGTTGGGCACGCCTGTCCCCCAGAACTGTGCTCCCAGAACCGTGACCGTCTGGCTCCTTTCCATCCTGTCTGGCCGGGCAGTTCTGGACCCTGTGGTGGTTGAATTGCGTCCCCGCAGTCTGCCCGGCAGGCTGGGCGGCTGTCCTCACCCTGACCCCGAGGACCGGCTCGAGGTTCAGTGAGGGCCCAGCTGCCCTCTTCCCTCCCTCCGGCCATTGTTCTCAAAGGAAGTGCACAGTTGTCGGCCATTGCTGGTGGCTGCTGGCACAGGACAAGCAGAGTGGGATGGGGAAAGGCGAGCAAAGAAGGGCCGCTTCCGTTCTGGGAAAATGGAGACGAGGGAGGCTGTCTGAGTCGTCCTCCCAGCTCCCAGAACGAGGAGCGCGGCCTGGCGCCAGGGAGGCCTCTGGACCTGGAAGAGGGTCGTTCACCAGCACGGTGACTGCGACGGCCTGGTGCCCGGGGCAGTGGGGTCCTGAGCAGAGAGCCACGCCCACGCCCACGCCCAGGGAGTGGCCCAGGTAGCCATCCTGCAGGGAGTGTGGGCGGAGCCACGAGGGTCCTGTGGGACCTGCCCAGAGGGGACCTCCCTGCGGGCCGGCCGGTGCAGCTGGAAGGAGGGCCCGCGCCCTGACCTCAGGCCTGAGGGATGGCCAGCCTGTGCGGGGGCACCGCACACAAGGAAAGGCAGCGTTTCCACCACGGGGAATGCGGGCCTGGCTGCGCTTGGATGGGGAGGAAGGGGAAGAGAGACTGGACCAGTTTCCGTGAGTTTCTGTTCCTCCTCAGAGGCCTCATTCGTGAATCACTTCCCCAAAGTCCCTGCGGCTGAGCCCCGCCAGCATCACCGCCTCAGATCTGCTTCCTCTCAGGTCCCTCCGCCCGTGCTGAGCCAGGACCCACCCCTGCTCCCTGGCACCCACGGGCGACGTGAGAACCACGCAGTGAGAGCAGGGTGCACCGGCTGCTTACACCGAATGTGAATCCAGCTCTCAGAATGCACGTAACTCTCTTCCCGGGAGCAGGGCACTGCAGGCCGGTGTCCAGGGGAGGGGTGAAGGGTGCAGGTCAGCGGTTTGGGGGTTGTTCCCAGAGTTGTGGCACTATCACTGCCATTGATGTTCATCCCAGAAAAGAACTTCATAGCATCGCATCGATCCCCGTTTTCCACCTCACCCCCTCTTCCCAGCACAATGCTTCCTGTCCTACAGACTAGCCTGTATTAGACTTTGCTTATACGAAATTGTACAACATTGGAAGCCTGATTCCTGCACCAGTGGGGTCCCTTGGCCTGGCCTGTGGGATCGGGCTGAAACTGGCTCTTCAGCATTCCCTGAGGGGTCCTGGATTGCAAGAGGGCACAGGCCAGGCTGAGGGACTCTACCAGTGCACGATTGGAGGAGCCTCGGGGCCGGGGAGGAACCGGGGGAGCACTCCAGGGCGTGTCTGGCCCCATCTTAGCTCAGTCCCAGCAGGCTGGACCCCAGCAGCAAACTAATCTACTGGTCAGAGCGTTTCCCCCCTGCTGGTCAGTGCACATCATAGCAAGCACTTGAGCAGCCTTAGCATATCATTAGCATATAATGCTTTGTTGGAACGGAAGACCGGACACTTAGCATATTAGGCTTTTATTATATAGGATTCTATAGGATATAACAACGTTGCCTTTAACGACTGGCTTCTTTCACTTAATTGTTCTGGGTTAATCCGTATTGTAGCATCTGTAGCTGATCCATTTCTTTTTGTTGCTACATAGTATCCCACAGTGTGGATATGTCAGGTGTACTGATTAATAATGCGGATTTTTTTCAAAAGATGGAGTTACACATGTTATATACATGCGATTTGATATGTATTCTATTTTGTTGTATTAACAGCAAGCTTCAAAACTTCATATGTCAAATTTTCTGAATGTGTTAATATAGATATTTTTATACTTAAAAATGTCAAATTTCATACAAAAAAAACATTTGCAGGAAGTTTTAATTCATTATTTTGAAGAAAAGTGCTGAATACTTAAGGAAGCTTATGGTGAACATGCTACATCTCAAGATACTTGTGAACGCTGGTTTAAACACTTTAAAAGTGATGATTTCAACGTGAAAGACAAAGAATGTCCAGGTCAACCAAAAATGTTTGAAGACAATTACAAGCATTATTGGATGAAGATGCGTGTCAAACTCAAAAACAACTTGCAGAAAGATTCAACAAACAATTTCTGACTATTTAAAAGCAATGGGAAAGATTTTAAAGGAAGGAAAATGGGTGCCACATCAACTGAACGAAAGACAAATGGGAAACCGAAAAGTCATCAGTAAAATGTTGCTTCTTTTTTGCATCGAACTGTGACAAGTGATGAAAAATGGATTTATTTTGAGAATCCCAAATGCACAAAATCATGGTTTGATCCAGGTCAACCATTAATATCGACTGCAAGGCTAAATCGCTTTGGAAGACAATGCTCTGCGTTTGGTAGGATCAGGAAGGTGTGAATTACGAACTTCTCAAACCAGGTGAAACTGTTAATACTGATAGCTACTAACAACAAATAATCAATTTGAACCACATGTGATCATGAAACGACCAGAATGTGCCAGAAGACAGCAAAATAATTTTACTTCATGATGACGGACCATCTCACACTTCAAAACCAGTTATAGACACGTTAAAAGATCTTGCTGGGAAGTATGAACCCACCCGCTGTATTCACCAGACCTTGCTCCTTCAGATTACAACTTGTTCTGATGGATGGCACACGCACTTTCTGAGCAGCACTTCAAAACATGCGAAGGAGTGAAAAATGGGGTCTCTGAATGGTCTGCCTCAAAACAAGAAAAGTTCTATTGGGACGGTACCCACAAATGACCTGAAAGATGGGGAAATGTGTAGCTAGCAATGGACATTACTTTGAATAAAGCACTTCTGATATTTCTCTTGAAATTACGGTGTTTTCTTCCATTAAAGATCTGCATTATTAACTGGTATACCTGGTACATCCTTGACATATTCATTCATAAGGAGTGGACACGAGGGTTGTCTCCACAGTTTGTTGTTCTGACACTGCTAAGAACACCCGCACCCAAGTTTCCGTGGACATTCGTCTCCTGTCCTTTTGGGGGCGCCATGGAGGTGGACTTTCTGAGTCACGTGATGATTCACCTAAAGAACTGGCTGCTCTGCACCCACAGCTGCCGCTGCCTCCACCCCCGTCCACCCCCTCCACCTCAGCATGCAGGAAGCTTCCTGTTCCTCCACGTTCTCTCCCAGATGGCAGGTGTGTTGTGTCTCGCACCGTGGCTGGGATTTGCGCGTGGAGTGTGTTGTGTGTGCACTTAAGAATGTGTAGTTTGGCCCAGCTGGCTCGGCTCAGCGGTTGAGCATCGACCTGTGAACCAGGAGGTCACGGTTTGATTCCAGGAAGCCCGGATAGTGGGCTTGATCCCCGGTGTGGGGTGTGCAGAAGGCAGCCGATCAGTAGTTCTCATTGATGTTTCTCTCTCCCCCGCCCCACCTTTCTGAAATGAAAGAAACGAAGAGCATGAAACGTGTGTTTGCTGCCGTCCGTGGTGTGTGCTCTGGGTCTCGGGGTAAGTGAGGAACAGTGCTGCTCTAGTGCTCTTTCCATGTTGGTTTTACTCTTAGTAGTTCTGTTGTTGAAAATGGGGTGTTGAAATCTATTATTGAAATCTGTTTCTGTTTTCAAGTCTTCCTTTTTTTCTTGCTGTTAGCAGTCAACTCCAAAATCTCAGTGACTTACCCACCAGGGCCTGACCTCTTGCTCAGACAGAAAACTAGCCATCTGGTCTCCCTCGGGGGCAGGGCAGCCTGCTCCCAGCTCCGCCCAGGCTCCGGCCTCAGCCTCCTCCTGTCTCTGTGGTCTCTGCAGGGGCGGCAGAGCTTACACACAGGCAGCAGCTGGAACGGGGGGCACCTGGGCTGGGCGGGCGCTCCTGCTGCTGTGCGTGGGACCAAGCCGGTGACAGTAATCGACACTGAGGAGGACGATGGCCCCGAATTAATGGCAGATCCCGAATCACTAAAGAAGTAGGAAACCGGATCCTCATCAAAATGATTTCATTTTATTTTGAAACAGAAGTTAATTTGTGTTGCACATGTTTCCAGTGTGAGAGTTTTCTAGTCTCACGTACAGAGGAGTGATGGAGGGACTCTGTCCGAGTCATCCTATCACCAGGCCTCTCCAGTGCGGTGAGACGGACCTACCAGGGTGTCTGTTACATAACAGAACTGGCTCAGCACACACATGAGTCTAAACCACAGAGGCCAAACCGCAGTGGAAAAGCCAGCCTCGAGAGAAACAACAAGGTGACTTCTGCACAGCTTCCTACGGTGGCGTGCCTTCGAAGGTGGCCTAGATTTCTATGCTCAAAGCGACACTGGAGGAGGAGTTGGTCTGTGAAAAAAAAAAAAGGGACACACAGGCTTCCTGTATGCTGGCTCCCCTGGGAGCGTGAGCAGATGCAGTAGTGCCGTGATGCTGTGCTTTGTGGGAAAGGACCATTTATTTTATTTCCCCATCCCACCCCCCTTCTCTCCTCCCTCAGTGCTGTTCATACTCCTGGGTGTCTACCTCGTGCTGGATATTTTACAAAAGTCCCTTCCGTTAAGCTGTTTTCTCGTTATTTGCTATGTTCCCAAAGGTGACCAATATAAATGAACCCAGTGGAATGTTTCTTGTTAGAGGGATTGTCAGATGCAAACCTTACCAAAATACTTGAAGAGCTGAAGTCAGGCACGAGAGGACAATAACAAAGGAAGTGAGGTGGGCGGGGTGGCCATCGCCGTCACCAAAGGCGGAATTTCCTCCTCCTTTTCCTGACTCATTGAGAACAGCTCTTTTCACCAAAAGTGAGCCACGCTGAGACCCTGAGCGGGACTGTTTTTGTAATTTAAAAATGGACTCCTAGTT